TTTAATATTCAGATTTTTGATCCATTTAGATTTTAGCTTAGTACGTGGTGATAGGCATAGGTCTAGTTTCAGTTTTTGGCATATGGAGAGCCAGTTTTTCCAACACCATTTATAAAAGAGACTGTTGTTCCCATGAACATGTTTGGCCCCTTTATCAAAGATAAGGTGGTTGAATGTGTTTGTAGTTCTGGTTATATCTTGTAATCTATTCCATTGATCTTGAGATGTGTTTTTATTCCAGTACCATGTTGATTTGATTACAGTAGCTTTGTAGTGTAACTTCAAGTCAGGGATTGTGATGCCTCCAGCCTTGCCTTTTGCTGCTTAGAATTGCCTTTGCTATTGTAGGTCTCTTCTGGTTCCAGATGAATTTTAGGAGTGATTTCTCTAGATTTATGAAGTATGTTAGTGGTATTTTCACTTGGATTGCATTGAATCTGTGTAACAGTTTTGGGAAAATGGTCGTTTTCACAATATTTATTCTTCCTATCCACAAACAAAGGATATCTTTCCATTTTCTGAGATCCTCTTCGATTTCTTTCTTCAAGGTATTACAGTTTTCCCTGAATAGATCTTTTACTTCTTTCATGAGATTAATTCCTTTTTAAAAAATTGCTACTGGATGGAATTCACGACTGAGCGGCTTGCAAAGCAGGCTTTTATGCTGCTGAGCTAAATCCCTAGCCCTGTGAGATTAATTCCTAAGTATTTCATTTTTTTTGGATGTAGTGTGAAGGGTGTGGCTTCTCTTATTTCTCTCTCATTGATTTTGTTGTTAGTATACAGGAATGCTATTGATTTTTGAGTATTGACTTTGTATCTAGCTACAATGCTGAATTGATTTATTACATCTAGGAGTCTTTCAATGGAGTTTTGGTGGTCTTCTATGTAGAGTATCATGTCATCCGCAAATAATGATAATTTAACTTCCTCTTTTCCTATCTTTACTCCTTTTATTTCTCTCTCTTGTCTAATTTCTCTGGCTAGTATTTCCAGTACTATGTTGAATAGAAGTGATGATAAAGAACATCCTTGTCTTGTGCCTGATTTTAAGGTAAAGACTATCAGTTTTTGGCCATTTAATATGATGCTGGCTGTTGGTTTGTCATAGATAATCTTTATCAAATTGACTTAAGACCATCTCTTCCAATTTTCAGAAAGGTTCTTATTATGAATGAGTGTTGGACTGTATCAAAAGCTTTTTCTGTGTCTATAGAAATGATCATGTGATTCTAACTTTTGGCTCTTATTGATATGGTGGATTACATTTATTGATTTACGTATGTTGAACCATCCCTGCATGAATCCCAACTGGTTGTGGTGTATAATCTTCTTGATGATTTGATGCATCCTGTTTGCCAATATTTTATTGAGAATTTTTGCATTTGTGTTCATTTGGGAGATTGACCTCTTTTTTAGTTGGGTCTTTCTCAGGTTTTGGTACTGGAGTAATATTTGCTTCCAGGATTGACTTAGGAAGAACTGCTTCCCTTTGATTTCATTGAAAAGTTTAAGGACTGTCAGCATTAAGTCTTCTATGTATTTCTTGTAGAAATTTGCAGTGAATCCATCTGGGCCTGGCCTCTTCTTTGTTGGTAAGGACTTAATCACATTTTCAATTTCATTAATAGAAATTGGGTTATTCGGCTTTCAGTTTTTCAGTTATTCAGTTTTACATCTTTTTCACCCAGCTTTGGTACTTTATATGTTTCTAGGAATCTGTCCATTTGTTCTGTGTTATCAGACCTATGAGAGAAGTTTTTGAAATAGGTGTTGATGAGATTCTGCATTTCCACAGAGTCTGTGGATTTCACCTTTATTCTTTATTGCATAAATTTGAGTTTTTTCTTTCTTTTTAAAATAAGGTTGACTAGGGCCTTATCAATTTTATTTATTCTTTCAAAGAACCAACTCTTTGATTCATTGATTCTTTCGATTGTTTTCTTAGTCTCTCTTGCATTAATTTCTCCTCTGATTTTTATAATTTCTTTCCATCTTTTGGCTTTGGGCTAGACTTGCTCTTCTTTTACTATATGTTTGAGGTATAGCATCAGGTTATTTATTTGTGTTCATTCTGTTTTCCTGATGTTGGATCTCAGTGCAATAAATTTTCCTCTGAAGACTGCTTTCATTGCATCCCACAGATTCTGATAGGTTGTATTTATATTTTCATTTGCTTGTAGGTATTGTTTAATTTCTTCTTTAATTTCCTGTATGACCCACTGATTGATTATTATTCAATTTCCATGTATTTGTGCGGTTTTCCAGTTTCTTTTATCATTAATTTCTAGTTTCATGGTGCTATGATCTGATAACATGCATGAGACAATTTCAGTTCTTTTGCATTTATTTAAATATGTTCTGTGGGCTAGTATATGGTCTATTTTAGAGAATGTCCCATGTACTGCTGAGAAGAATGTATATTCAGATGTTGTTGGATGGAACACTCTATATATGTCTATCAAGGCCATTTGTTCACAGGTGTGATTCAGTTCTGTTATTTCTTTGCTGATTTTCTGTCTGGTTGATCTGTCCCTTGGTGTCAATGGTGTGTTAAGGTCTCTTGTTTAATTGTGTTATTCCTAATTTGATTTTTCATTTCTACTAATACTTGCTTTGCATGCGTAGGTGCTCTGGAATTTGGTGCATATATATTTCAGATTGTTATCTCTTCCTCTTGAAGTTATCCCCTAACTAGTGTGTAGTGACCTTCCTATCTCTTTAGATCATTCTTGGTTTGAAGTTCACATTGTCTGCAAACAGAATAGCTACCCCCACTTTTTGGGGGGTTCCTATTGCATGAAGTATTGTTTTCCATCCTTTGACTTCCAGTCTATAAGTTTCCTTTTGGGTTAAATGGGTTTCTTGTAAACAGCCTGTGGCGGGATGTTGTTTCTTGATCCATTCTGCCATTCTGTTTGTTTAATTGGTGAGTTGAGGCCATTTACGTTAATGGTTATAACTATTGTATGTTGATTTATTGTTGACATATTATCTTTCTGCTGTTGCATCTTTATCTTTCCATTCTGTTTAATTGTCTGCCTTGTTTAGCGTTTTTTTTGTATGTGTATCTAGACTGCCTTTCAGTATTCTTTGCAGGGTTGGTTTGGTGATCATGAAGTTCTTCAGCTGCTCTTTGTCATGGAAGTATCTTATTTCTCTATCCATTTTGAAGGTCAGTTTTTCAGGGTACATCAGTCTAGGTTGGAAGTCATTTTCCTTTAAGATCTGAAATACTTTGTTCCATGCTCTTCTTGACTTCATTGTTTGTGTTGAGAAGTCTGCTGTGATTGTGATAACTTTTCCTTTATAGATGATCTCTCTTTTCTCTCTAACAGCTTTTAATATTCTGTTTTTATGTTGTATTTCTGGGACTGTGATTATTATGCTTGGGTGCAGTTTTATTTTGTTATGGTTATTTGGAGTACTTTATGCTTTACTAATCCATATGTCAGTTTCCATTTTCATGTTTGGGAAATTTTCAGCTGTTATTTCTGTAAATAGCCTCTTGATGTCATTTATGTTGTCCCTTTCTTTTTCTTTTATCCCTGTCAATCTCATGTTGTCTTCTTTTCATCATACTTCAGCTGTTGAATTGTTATTTCCTGATTCCTTATTATTTTTAAAAGATCTTTCCTTTCCTGTCTTGAGCATGGTCCAATCAGGCTTGCAGTTCCTCCCTTGCCACCTCCAGTGTTCTAGGAAGCTGTGTGGGCTCCTAACCAATGTGGGTCATGGTCCAAAGCTCTCCCTGGGCTAGTGGTGATGCACTGGAATTCACCTTGTGTGCCCTCAGCTCACTGGATTGAAGAAGATCGCTGGACATGGCCCAATTAGGTCCAGCAAAACTCTTGAGCCTAGTCCAGTGTTTCAAGAAGCTGGGCAGGCACTTATCCACTGGGAGTGATGGTCTTAAACTCTCCCATGCCTGTACCCAGTGCTCTGGAACTCCCCTTGCAGCCTCAGCTCTCGGATTGAAAGAAAGTTGCTCTGAAATTTATTTTTAATATTTCCCAGAGAAATAACTTTTTGTAACAATGGCTTGTTGTCAAGAAATAACTTTAAATGCGTGCCTGGCAAGCATGGAGTCATGAGTTTGATCCTTGGCACACATAAAAAATAAATTTACTTAAAAGAAATAATTTCTTATAACAATACATTATGATCAGAGTTGGTGTTTCTATAGCTAGACAAAAACTGAAAAGTGTATTAAATATTTTGTCATTAAGTCTTTTTTTGTTTTTTGGGTTTTTTTGTATGAAGTATTGATTCAGGACCTTGTGCTTCCCAGGCAGGCACTTGTGCCACTGAGTTATATCCCTTATGTTCTCAATGATATGATTTGATCATTTAAGTCTATCTTTGTTATTTTACTGGTGAAGAACTTTTTTTTGTTGTTGAGGCAGGATCTTGCTATCTAGTTCACACTGGCTTTGAACTTGTGCCTCAGCCTCTAGGATGTCCAGTAGAAGTTATGACTAGTAAAATGACCAGTTTAAATTTCTTTTTAGAGGTTGGGGATATAGCTTGGTGGCACGGTGCCTACTTGGCAAGCACAAGGTCCTGAGTTTGATTCCTAGAACCATTCCCCTCCAACCTTCTTTTTAAAAATTATTTTATATGACTAATTTATGTTTTTTTTAAAAAGGATGTTTTAACTAGGAATGGTTCTGTCCTGGCATATTTCTATAATCCCAGCACTCAGCAGGCTGGGGCAGGAGCACTGCCATGAGTTAGCTTTGTCTGCATAATGAGTGTAAGGCCAGTCTTAACTACATAGCAAGGCCTTGTCTCAAAAATTTGGGGGGGGTAAATTTTTGCTAATATCTTATTATCTCATTTTCAAGTAAGTGGTTAGAATAAATTTTTTACTATACTTAGTGTTTGCTATATGGTTTTGAAAATAGCCTCTAATTTTCATTCATAGTATTCAACTACTAGACTTAGAATTTTCCCTTAAAAAATGGAATGAAACAAATCCTTATGACTGTTGCTTCTAGGATCCCAGTGTGAATGATAAGAGGGAGTGGAAACCTGTACATTATGCAGCTTTTCATGGACGACTTGGCTGTTTACAACTTCTTGTCAAATGGGGATGTGGTATTGAAGATGTGGACTACAATGGAAATCTTCCAGGTATTCTACAGAAACAAACATTTTACTTTTTCCTTAATGTAGTTTAACTGTTTGATTATGTTTAATAAATTTAAATCATCTTCATTTTAGTAACTTTGTGCAAAACTAAAATAGTAAATACGTTGTCATGAACATTTTGGTATTATTCTGATGTTATGCACCCTCATGATTGCTTTTTTTCCTCTAGAACTATATCAGTTAAAGATAAAATGGCAAAATAAAGCATACATTTGCTCTTCTCAGCAACTTTTCTTTCATCTGCTGTCTTGGGTTCTTAATTTGTAACTTAATACCCTTCTTCTCCACCGATAACTTTAAACATCTTTTAAGTAATATAAAAGAAGACACTAGTGTATTTGAGTAATTTGCTACTGCAGTTGTCTAACCCACAGTTGGCTGACTTGTTGAAACTTAGACTCTGAACACTTAAAGAAGCGCTGTAGAAATTCAGAGAGGAAAGCTGGTTGTGGTGGCGCACACCTTAATCCCAGTACTCCAGAGGCGGAGACAGCAGGATTGTTTTGAGTTCAAGACTAACCTGGGCTACAAAGTGAGTTCAAGGGCAGCTCAAACTGCAAATCCAAATCCTGTTTTAAAAAGAAAAAAAAAATTCAGTGAGGGATGGATCACGTGAGACAGGAATGGAAATAATGCTTGAGTGACTTCTTAATTTTAAGAACATGTGAGATGAATAATGTGAACAGGTCTAATCAAATTCTTTTGCTGTGCAGAAGGCCTGGCTCCCAGTGTAGCCTTGGTTCCTTGGCTTGGCTTGCTGTTCCTTTGTAACTTGGATCCCCCTCCCTTGCTACATCTTCTGTTTCTTCACACTGTCATCTGGCATGGTTGTGCTTCTTTCTGAAGTACGTATTTTCATGTTCCTTTGGTAAAGATTTTTTCATATGAGCTCTCATTTTTTCTGGTGTATCTGGTAGTGATTTTAAAAAAAATTTTTTTTGTCTTTTTGAAATAGGGTCTCGCTATGCAGTTTGGGTTGGTGTTGAGTGTCCTTTGTAAACCAGGCTGGTCTCAAACTCATATTAATCCTCCTGTCTCTGCCCGATTGCTGGGATTACAGGCATGCACCACCATGCCTGGCTCTGGAAGTGATTTTATTTTGCTTCCATTCTTCTCTTTTTTAGTTTTTACTGTGTTCACTTTATAAAACCAAAACTTTAAATTGAAGCATAACTTGCATATTGAAGTTTCCAAACCAAATGCAAAGCTCAATGAATTTTCATAAACACTATTCTGTAATCATCATTCAGATTAAGAATAGAATATCATTAGCACCCAAAAGTCTTCCTCATGTCAGTTACTTTTACCCTCTGAAATTGACTACTAAATTCCAATATAAAAAGCATTTTCTTCTCACTTTTTAAAAAATTAGTATTGGGGACTGAACTCATGACTACACGCTTGCAAGGTAGGCACTTAGGCCTGCTGAGGTAAATCCCCAGCCCTCTTGTCACTTTTGAACTCTATAAAATAATGCACAAGTATTTTTTCTATCCACCTTATTTTGCTTTTCCAAACTGGTTGTACCAATACACACACCAGAAGCAGTGTTTTAAAAGTTATTGCTTGTTCCTAGTATTTATTTAATTTATTTAGTTTTTTAGTTTTAATTATTCTGATGACTGTAGAGTGATATCTCCTTGTACTTTAATTTGCAGTTACCTTGATGACTAAGGATACTAAACATCACATACATTATAAGAAATTTGTACCTTTACATGATATATCGTGATTCCTCTTTCTTTCTCCATTGCCCTCCTCTCTCTTCAACTCCTCTTCTCCTTTTTATTTACAAAGTTTTGTTTCCATTTTATCATTATTTGGCCACCCCCCAGTCCCCTTTTCTTTTTTAAAAATTTTATTTAAGGAGAAAAAGAAAAAAAATAGAAAAGGGTACAAGTGATACAGAATTTAAAGAAAAATAAACAGTAGAAAATCACTAGTTAATAGATTACATATTGTCATCTTAGAAATAGTTGTTCAAGTTACAAAATTAAAGCATATAAAGTGGACATTCAAACAGTGAGACTGCAAACAGTTCTGTTGAATGATCCAACAAAAACTCAGAAATATGGTCATCATATTTTATGGCATTTATGTTAATGTCATCCTGTTGTAGGTAGTGCTATCTTATCTCTTGTTCAAAAGAAACTTCCATATTCTGTGATTGTGAAGACATTGTTTTATGCTAGAAATTTTATTATTTTAATTTCTCATTTAGATCTGCAAGCCACCTACAAAAGGCTGTTGCACACATCTTTTGTGTGCAACACATGGCAAGAGTCAGTTTCAAACACACCTGATCATTTCTTTCATTGTCCACTCAAAAAAATCTGTTTCTTTAAATCTATGTAATAATTCTACAACCATATAAGGTATATGTTGTACTCTACTCAAAAAACAGGGCCCCATGATGAAAAATGGGGCAAGACCTCAAGATGACAAACGGGGCAAGATGTCTTTTTTTAAAGAAGCGCTTTTATTTTAGCTGGCCCAGCGACACAGTGCAGATGGAATTTGCAAAGCTATGCAACTGAGTTAGAGTTTTGACTGATTTTTATAGTTCATTTATGATTAGCTTATTGATCATTAAGTACATAGTGATGAGAAACAGAAACAAGGTGGGCCTTTGTTCCCCTTTGCTTGAGATCAGAGGCATTTTGCAGTGGGTGGTTAGCCAATTCATAGCCCTTGGTCTGCCAATTCCAGGAACATTTGTCTCTCGTGAAGGGAACAATGGTTGAGACAGCATCATTTGTCTCTTACAAGGGGAACAAAAGTTGACATAGCACACAAGTCACTAAGGTGAGGGGGATGACGCATTACAGAACAGCAGAACGATGTGGTCAGTTAATTTATAGTATAAAGTATATTTTCTAATAGTGCAATGTATAGGTTAAGAATGTGACCTCCATGGTAGTACATACCTGTGATCCCAGCACTTTGGAGGCTGAGGCAGGAGGATTGTTGCAAGTTTGAGGCCAGCATGGGCTACATAGTGAGTTCAGGGGCAGCCTGAATTATACAGCAAGACCATGTCTCAAAAAACTGAAAAAAGGAAAAAAAGAATGTGACCCAGGACTAGACTTCTTGTATTCAAACTTGTCTCAAAAATACTAATTAACGTATATTTATTGAGTCCTCCTGGGTGGCAGTCCACTTGGAAGTTCTTCGGATAAGCATGGAAAGTAACAAGTCCTTGCTTTCATGTGGTGGTGAGGGAAGAGATAGATAATGATCACATGGGGCTATCTGTCTGGGTAAATATAATGTAGCAAAGAGCAGTAGCAAATATTAGAGAGGTAGAAATTTCAAATGAGGGCTGAGGAAAGCCTTCACTGAGGAAGTGAGAGTTGGGTAAAGACTGAAGGAGTTGAGGAGCTAAGTCTGAAGAAGACCTCCTGGGTGAAGAATGTTTCGGGACTAGGTACCAGCAGGTGTGCAGCAAGTATGTGCATGGCGTGTGGGAACAGCAGCAGGTCAGCGTGGTTGGAAGGGAGTGAAGGGTAAGAGCTGTGTCTAAGGAGGAACTGACCTTGGGAGGTTGGAGGTAAGAGTGGTGCCACCTCACCTAACACTGTCGTGTGATTCACTGCGGTGAGGCTGTGTGGGTAGCAAGGCAAGAAAGAGGGAGAGCAGTCAGCAGCCTAATAGTTAGGCTACTATTTGGGTTGGATTAGTGTAGTGTGGTGTAGTTTAAGAGGCAGCAGAGAGTGAGAACCTAACTGAATTCTACCTATATCTTTTAAGGAACCAGTGGAATTCGCTATGTTACCTAAGGGGATGATAGAAGAGTCGATGAAATAAACAATAAAAAAAATCTAGGTGTGGTGGCATACAGCTGTAATCCCAGTACTTGGGAGGCTGAGGCAGGAGGATCACCATGAGTTTTACACCAGCTTGGGCTACATAGTGAGTGCAAGGCCAGCCTGGAATACATAGTGAGACACTCTCTCAAAAACAACAAAACAAATGAAATAACCCCCAAAACAACTAACTAAAATAAAATTGAAAAAAATGAAAGAGGAACTAAGGATGGCTCCAGGGTTTTGATGAGAAACATGGAATAGATTTTCTGTTGACTAAGATGCAGAAGATTATATAAGGAAAATATATACAAGGAGGATGAGGACTTTAGTTTTTAACATTTAAGTTAGAAACGTCTGTAAGACATACAGCCTGGTGTAGTAGTGCAATCTTTGCAGTTGGAGGTGAGGCAGGAGGACCACTGAGTTTGAGGCCAGTCTGGCTACAAAGTGAGTTGAAGGCTGAACTGCATGGTGAAACCCTGTCTCAAAAAGACCACCAACAACAAAACACTCCAAACAACAACAGCACATTCCAGCATATATGTTGGAATTCCAGCATATATGTTAGCAATCAGAGAAGCCTGTATTTTCAGAGGAAGATTTACTGTGGGAGGAGGACAGGATAGCATGATCTAGGATAGCATGGTATGCACTTACAGTTCAGCTGACCTAGGATAGCATGACATGCACCTATAGTCCAGCTTCTGAACTATGCCAGCTAATATTAATCACCAGTTTGCCTGGATTAAGAGATTGATGAGAGGTGATTTTGATCATGGGGCATGATATACTCATTAGTGATTACTCCAGTGATGTTCACAGCTACCTGTGCTGCTCAGAGGTAGGGCCCATGGGAGGTGGGTCACTGTGGCTGAGCATTCAAGGAGTGTCTCTCTGCTTGTGATCCTCCCTGTGCTCTGCTTCCTGGCTGCCATGAACTGAGCAGGTTTGTACTATCACGCCCCTATCCCACCATGATATTCCTCCCTTATAGCTAGCTGACTGTCATAGTTACTTTTCTCGCATTACTGGGGACAAAATACTCAACCTCCAAAGTTAAAGGGGCATAGGTTTACTTAGCTTACAGTTTGTAGAGGTTTCAGTCTATAATTGTGTGGCTTCAAGGCAGGGTGGCATGGCAGACAAGCATCACAGAGGAGAAACAGTTCACAGCAGGCAGCAGGTAGCAAAGCAACATGGAAGGGACCACAGCTCTTTCTAACCCTTATATCTCATCTAGGCTACTTAGGATGGGTAGCACTCACACTCTTAATCCTAGTGCCCTTGATGCTAGCATTGCACCATGAATGAATTTCAGTGTCACGCACTATTTTTTTTTTATTTAAAGAGAAAAAAGAAAGGACATAAACAAAGCAGTAAAAGGGTACAAGTAATACAGAATTTCAAGAAAAAAATATACAGTAAGAAATCACTAGTTAATAGGTTACATATTGTCTTCTTAGAAACAGTTGTCCAAATTATAAAATTAAAGCATATAAAGTGGACATTCATACAGTGAGATTGGAGACAGTTCCGTTCAATGATACAACAAAAGCTCAGAAATATGGTTTTCCATCCTACACACTCAAACATACATGCAGTTATATCCCTTAGTCCTCCTTCCTTTCCTCTCTTTTTTACAATAACAATTACACTTTTTGGGTTTTATTACTCCCACAGTTCTTATTACTTTTTTTGAAGAGAATAAAACCAAACGTGACTGGGCAAAACAGAGTCAGAACAGAAGGATGGGCATAGTACATGATGCAAAAATAGAATACCAGGTGATCAAAAGTGGTTACCATTGTGTATTTTTTTCAAATCCATTTTATTCAAGGATAAAAAGAAAGAAGAAGAGAAAAAAAGCTACAACAAAATTTCAAAACATGTCAGCTAGGAGGCAACAATACCTTGCACACTGTCATCCCCAAATCTTTCACCAAGAGCATAAGACATCTGTATTCAGTTGTCTGAACAATATTAGCACAAATCTTTCTCTTCAGCAAACTCAGAGAAATCAATAGTATAACTATCTTAATTATTTTTATGTACATATACATACACATATACATATGTTTGTTCTTTCAGCTTGTCACACTAATGAACCAATACAATGTTTACATATGTGTCTTATTTCACTGTATGAATATTTTCAAGTTGCATCCATTTACCTATAAAAGTGTCTAGTTTATCATTCTTTATGGCTGAGTTGTACTCCATTGTATAAAAAAAACACATCTTTTTATCCATTCCTTAGTCAGTGGGCATTAAGATTGTTTCTAAAATCTATTATAAACTGTGCTGCTATAAACATGGGTGCACATATATAACTATGGTATGATGGTTTTAATTCTTTTGGGAAGATACCCAGAAAAGGAATAGTTGGGTTCAGTGGGACCTCCAATCTTAGTTTTTTGAGGACTCTCCATACTGATTTCCACAGTGGTTGCACCAGTCTGCATTCCCACCAACAGTGGAGAAGGGTTCCTTAGGGAACCCCCACAGCCTCTCTAGCATTTTTATTGCTTATTTTCTTGATAATATTCATTCTTTCTGGGGTGACGTGGTCAGTGTTTTAGTTTGCATCTCTCAAATGACCAGTGAGGTTGAACATCTTTTCACATATTTATTTGCTATTTATATTTCTTCATTTAAGAAGTATATATTCATCTCAGATGTCTATGTTTGGATTGGGTCTTTAACTCTATGAGAACTGATTGAGTTCTTTTAATATGTTTCCAATAGTAATCCTTTGTCTGAGGGACAGCTGGCAAACATCTTCTCTCACATTGTGTCACACACACTAGATCCAGCCACCTCTGACAAAGTCCCACCTATGACCACATGGGGCTTTGGGGAGACATCTAGGCCCAAAGCATGACACTGACCATGGATTAAATCATTTCCTCCTTTAAGTTGTGGCTGTGAGGCATTTGGTCTCAGCAACAGAAAAGCTGACCAATATGTGAATTTTGGGACTTCTTTCTCCTGATTTGCATGGCCACATGAGAACTGCCTTCTCTATAGTTAAGGTCTGTATAGCATATGAACTTAACTTCCTCCAAAAGTCAGAGGTATAAAGACTTTGTTGGCCTTTGTAATCACTGCCTCACAACCATTCCTTCTTGTTGTTTTGTTTTTTGAAACAGGGTCTTTCTTTGTAGTTCAGGTTGGGCTTGAACTTGCTATGGAGCCATGGGTGGCCTTGAACTCATGGTGAGTTTTCTGCCTCAGCTTCCTGAATGCTGGGATTATAGGTGTGCACTAGCACACTGAGCATTCATTTTTTTTTAGAAGGGTTTGGGTTGTAGTTCTACCTCTGATCTGTATATTCTCAGAGAAAATTTCTGTCTAAGAAAAAAACTTCCTGTCCATACTGAACTTTAGTTGTTTATGACTATGAAAATATCTTCTGGATATTTTCAACAATTTAAGGTAGAAATGATGTATTTAGTATGTATGCTTAATTTTGACGTAGTCTGTGTTTATAATAAAAATAGTGCAAAGAGTGACAAATATACTGTATAGTGATAAAATAATCATGCTTTTACATAGTAACTTTTTGGTTTATTGTACTTTCCCCCAAATATTAAATTTTTATTTATTTGTATAGTAACTATTTTTCTCTGTAATTTTAAGGTACATAACTGGGATTTCACTTTCTAAGATAATTTTTGGGGTCCTACTTTTTAGGTGGCTGTTAACTGGTCTCTATACAGTCATGCTAAATATAGTCATTTAAGAAGTAGGTCCCTGTTTTGGTGTTACAAAAGACTGGCTGTGGGGGCACAGGATGGGAGCATGGTCCGTTCTCCTTGCTCAGGGCAAGGCTGTTATATGGGGTAGGATGGTCATCTCCCTGTGAGAAATAGAGCTAATTTGTTCTTTGTCAAGTTACTTTTCTTTCAATTTTAACATTAAATTCTTTTTTTTCTGTTACCTATAGTTCATTTGGCAGCCATGGAAGGCCACCTTCACTGTTTTAAATTCCTACTCAGTAGAATGAGCAATGGCACAGAAGCTTTAAAAGCCTTCAATGACAATGGAGAGAATGTGGTGGACTTGGCCCAGAGGTTCTTTAAGCACAATATTATACAGTTTATCCAAAGGGCAGCATGGGGAGGAAATAACCCAGAAGATCAGGAAAGTAAGTCACTAAGCTGAAATGAACTAGCATGTAATGCGATAATAATAATAATAATAATAAAATAATAAGTAAGATATTGGTATAGGAAAACAAAGAACTACTTTTTTTCTTTGGTGTTTTGAGACAAGGTCTTGCTATGCAGTTCAGCCTGGCTTTGAGTTCACTTTGTAACCCAGGCTGGTCTTGAACTCACAATGATCCTCCTGCTCAGCCTTCCGAGTGCTGCGATTACAGGCTTATGCCACCAGGCCCGCCAAAACAAAGAACTTTAAAGGGAAAGTTCCATTAAAATTCATTATATATTCCACATATTCTAGATTCTTCATTATGAAATATTTTATTTTATTTCCTTTTTTTTTGGGGGGGGTACTGGGGATGGAACTCATGACCTCACGCTCACCAGGCTGACACTTATGCCGCTGAGCTAAATCCCCGGCCGTTATGACATATTTTAGACAAAAATGTACAGATATTAACACATAGAGCATTAATATAAGCTAGTAGAATTGAAGTGTTCTATCTCTCTCTCTCTCTTTTTTTTTTTTTTTTTTTTTTTTTTTTTTGGTACTGGGGATCAAACTCTCAACCTCATGGCTTGCCAGGCAGATGCTTATGCTGCTGAGCTAAATTCCCGACCCTGGATCTCTTTCTATAATACCATTACTTCTTTTTTCTTCTTACAAGTAGAATATTATTTTAGATTTATCATTCTGTTATATATAAAAGAATATATAGTATTGAAATCGTCTATCTACCTGTGTTTTTCTCTCTTTAAAACTACATTTTTCAGATGTTTTGTGCTCTGAATGATTTGTGAATGACAATGTGCAATGTACCATTGTTACCTCCTGACGGACATGTTTTGAAATTTTGTTATAGGTTTTTTTCTTCTTCTTCTCATCCTCCTCTTTCTTCTTTTTTTGGTTATTTTTCTTGAAATAAAATGGATTTGGAGGGGAAAAAAAGATAAATGGAAAAAAAAATGCATTCTTGGGCTGGGCCTATAGCTCTGTGGTACATCACCTGCCTGGCAAGCAAGAGCTTGTTAGTTCAATTTCTGGTAACAAAAAATCACTTTCTTTACAAAATAAGAGATAAAAATAAGCACAAAGCACAAAAAAGATACAAAAGAAAAATTCATTCTGTAACTTTTCTAAATAATTTGAATTTCTTTTTTAATTAATTAGGTTTATTTGTGCATTTTAAATATATATAATGATCACATTCATCATAAGAATTTGTGCCTGTACACAAAATATCTTGTTCTTTTTCCCCATTTCTCTACCTTTCTTTCAACCCCTTTCCCTCTTCATTTACAAAGCTTTGTCTCCATTTTCCCTTCCTTTTCTCATTTTTTCTTTTCTCTTTCTTCCTTCCTTTCCCCTTCCCCTAGTTCCCCTTGTCATTTGAACATTTTCTTCCTATTTTATAATATTTGTTATATATGTTGGTACTTATTTAATATTTTAGTTTCTCACACCAAAGAAACAATGTAGTATTTACACATGTATGTTCGATTTATTTTACTTAAGAGGTCTCAAGGTGCCTCCATTTACCTAGAAGTATCTGAAGTTTATCCTTTATGTCTGAGAAGTATTCCATTGTAAATAATTTGAATTCCCCCATATATATGTATGTGTGTGTGTATTATACATATATATATATATTTATATATATATATATATAATATATATATATATTTTTTGAGTCAGTCTTGCTATATAGTTCAGACTGGCCTTGAATGTACTGTGTAGCAATCACAGTAAGTTCAAATTAGGCAATTCTGCCTCAGCTTCCTGAGTGCTGGGATTATAGGCATGTGCTATTGCACCTGTCAGTTTCTTTCTTTCTCTGTCTGTTTGCCTGTCTGTGTCTCTCTCTCTCTTTTTGTAATTTTTAAGAGAGTAAAACAGAAGAGTAAAAAGGAATAAAGCCGTGATCCACATTGTTACTATATTGTATATTGTTAATCTCTAAATAGTGCCCAGACAACCAGCCCCAGGCTGGCAAAGTCAAACAGACAAGTAAATGTCAGGTTGTTTCCCTGCTTCAGTTACTATCATCTCAGCCTGGGTCACGTCTGACTACTTGGGGCGGGGCACAGGTGGTTCCTTGGTGCTTCTACCCAGCTGACGGCCTCCACCATGCACAGGGTGGGGTCTGCATTGCTTCCTTGCTCTCTCTTCCCAGCAGCCAGTAGGGCCTCTGATGGCGCCTGGTGGGTGAGGACTGCATTGCTTTCTTACTGTTTCTCCCTATCTGGTAAGGCCATCACCCATGGTTTTCTTGTTTCCTGAATTCCTGAATTATTGATCTCTATGAGTTTGAAGTCTCAGTTCAGATCCTTCCTGTGTCCAGGGGACCCACCTTTTCCCTCTTTCTCTTCCTCATGTTGCTATATTCCAGGGTTTGGACACCAAAACTTGGAGAGGTTCTTTTTGTGCTGCTCACCACTCTACCATTTTCACAGAAGTCCTAACTGGAATTTCTATAGATTTTTGATTCTAGTGATTTAATTTTATTTTTAACTGATACAAATATTTTCTCTTTCACTTTGATTATGGTATCCTTTCAAAGAGCAACTGTATAAGAATATAATTTATTAAAATGACAATTGTTGATAGATTAAGGTAAGAAAAGAATAAATTCATGTATTTACTGAAATGCTGAATTTTCTTATTCATAGTGTTAGCATTTCCGGGTCATGTGGCTGCCTGTAAGGGTAATTTGGAAATGCTTAAGACATTATTAGAAGATGGCATAATCAACTTTAATGAGCGTGATGATAATGGATCAACTCTGATGCATAAAGGTGAGCTGTAATATTTGTTTCATTTTCAGTTTTTTAAATATATGTATGCATGTATGTTTTTTTAAGGCAGGGTCTCGCTATGGTTGGCCTTGAACTCATTGTGTAGTACAGGCTAGCCTAATTTGCAGCAGTCTTCCTGTCTCAGCCTCTTAAGAGTTGGGATTACAGGTGTACACCAAATGCATTTTCAATTCAGCTAAATTGCTGCTGAGTTATTCACCTTTAAAAGTACAAATACGTGAAATACATGAGAGCATGAAACTTTTTTTCTGATGCCCTAGTGGATATCAGTCTATCTTACATGGTATATAGAATACCTTATTTTCAATTCAGGTGGTATAATGCTTTTTAATGGTGCCAGACATTTATACATTGTCACATATGTGGATAATTCCAACAGAATTTACATTAGTGAAGATGGGAAACACACTGCTGTGAAGTTTCTTAGAATGAAATTTTTAAAAATGACCTGTTCATGTTGAGATGAAAAATTTATAGAATTGTTTTCTTTAGACTGCTAAGAAAATGTTTTTAATTTCGCAAAAATGATCAATGAACTTTATTAGATTTGAACATGTTTTTAAGATGTCTCTTTTTCTCCTTTCTATATAGAATTCTGTATTCGTTAGATTTTCCATGTTTGTAAGTCAGACTTTGGCTCAGTATTGAGACTCTAGGAATTATACTTTTTAGTTTTCCTTTAAAAAAATCAAAAGCAAATATTTAAAGCTTGTGGTTAAAGTTTGCATTCTACCTCATTTGTGATGGTGTTGAGTTTCTTCATAATCTGGTGTTGTGTGAATCTCAAAACTCTTAGAGAAGAAAGGTCATAGACTTGTTAATACAGCCATGGGCCTGAATTGAACTTTATTTGGAATCAACTTCTGACAGTTCCCAAACTGTATATTATTTCCTCCTTATGTTTTTATCTTGTTAAACTTTGTTTAATCCATATAAAATATAAAATCTACAAAAGTGTAGTTTATGTCATTAAGTGTGGCTTAAGAAGCTGTAAAGTCTGAGTTGTTAAATGTCCCATTCGGAAGGGGCCGTCCTCCACATCACGTGACACTGCCCAGGAGTGGAGAGCAAGTCACTGTTCTGCTGGAACGCAGCTCCCTGCAGAGCTAAATTCAGCATCAGGAAAGAGCAAAAAGTATTTTAAGATAAAAGACGTCTTACTAGGAGATGGGGAAGGAGAAAGAGAGATGCTGGACAGCTACTCCTGATGAGTAGGGAGAATTTGAAGTGAATTGATTGTCTATTCTAGTCTATAGCTTCTTTTCACTGAGATCCTTGAAGGCTTCTGGAAACTGATTGGTTTCCTGGCTTGTCTTTTACCCTAATTTTGGATTGTTTTCTGGTTTTGGGACTTTTTCTTGACCTTTGGTGGAGGATAATATTTTGAGTGGCGGCCTTATGGAAAGGTAGTTTTGGTTTATAGATTAAGTAAAGGAAAAGTTTGCAATTCTTATGTTAATTGCATTACCTGGGAATTTCTAGATCATGTCTGTCACCTCTGCCTGCCTGCCTGCCTGCCTTCCTTCCTTTTTCTCTCTTTCTCCCCCTCTCTCCCTCCCTACCTCCCTTCCTTCCTTGTGCAGGGTATTGAACCCAGGGCATCCACTTTGTCATAGCTGCTTTTGTCTTTTAGACTGTGGCTGCAGAGGTCAAAACTGAATTTTTAACATAAAGCTCAATGAGCCCTTTCCCCTAGTTTTCTCCCTGTATATAGGCCCACGGTCTCTACATAACAGTCAGAATAATGACTATATATTTATATATGTGTGTGTATTATACAGTCATGTGTACATATACACACAACAAATGCAGAAGCAAGATTTTTGATGTATATATGGATGCATACTAAATTGGGCAAACATAAAAGTGTAAATAAGGACCAAAATGTATAATAGATATTGTAAAATGGGAAGAAAATGTTCCAATGGAAAGGGGACGTAGGGAGCAGGGAGGGCGAAAGGAAGGAAGGGAAATGAAAAAAATGAGAAAAGAAGGAAAAATTGGAAACAAAGCTTTTGTAAATAAGGAGAAGAGGGGTTGAAGGGAGGCAAAGGGGTTGGGAAAAAAGAATCAAGTTATATCATGTATAGGTAAAAACTCCCTATCATGAGGGTTATCATTGTACCTAAAAGTGCCAATAAACTCAATTAATAAAAAAAGTAGATATTTCATTAAGTATTTGTCAGATGAATGAATAAGTAAAAGTAACCTACTTTTCTTACTGCAAGAAATACTTTCAATACCCTATATAATAATGCAAGAAATAATACTTATAATATCCTATGTAATAGTCTATAATTGTAGTACCCAAACTTTTAGAAAGTAATTATTAATAGCAATTTTCTTTTGTGCATATCTTTTCTGTCTCCCTTACCCCCTTTTCTTAACAGCTGCTGGACAAGGCCACATGGAGTGTTTGCAGTGGCTAATAAAAATGGGAGCTGACAATAATATCACCAACAAAGCAGGGGAGAGACCCAGTGATGTGGCTAAGAGGTATAGACAACTGTCTGCTTTGCTCCTCACTCTTGTTTATAAAGTTTGACATAACTATCCTGTACTCAGAAATATAATGGAATTTTAGAGTATTCAATTAAAGCTAATGCAATCATAATATTCAAACTGAATTGGCATTTGACATTGTATCAGTTCTTCTCTCCAAAATCTCAAATGGAGGTAGAATTTGTCTCCTTTCCTGGGGGTAGGACCACTTAGAAATGAGGAGAAAGTTGTTACAATGACTAACATTTAAGGGAGCCAGGGCTGAGGAATGCTAAGTGTTTCGTAGTGATCAAACCTGTGTTTAACAATGAGTCATTCCTCTTTGATGCCTGTAGCACTTGATAAAAAGGAATTATCAACATTGATAGCTAAAAGCAATCATAAGGGTTTTAAAATATTTGGGGATTTACATCTGAATTAAAGCACCACCAACTCATTCAGGTCAAGTCCTCAAGTGATATTTAATCCACATCTGTTTGCTCATTTGTCTTTTGCTTCAACTTTCTATCTACTAGTGCTGGTTTGTCTTAGTTACTTTTTACTCGTTGCTGTGACAATACCTGATGCCCAAAGTTGGGAAACGAAAGGTTTATTTCTTACAGTTTTTGGAGGTTTCAGGCCATACTCAAATGGCTGCAAGGCAGGGTGGCATGGCAGGGCCACAGTTCATGGCAGCTGCAAACAACAAGGCAGAAACCCGCAAGACAGTGAGACATACCTTCTTCCTGCCATTACATTGCATCCTGGCTCCACCCCTAGGCCAGTGTAGCACTCATACCCCCAATCCAAGCGCTAGACAATGAACCAATTACAAATGCACAATGCAAATACATGAGGCCTGGAGGCCACCAACATAAACCATGACATTCCACCCCTGGCCCCCAGAACTCATATACATCCTTTATACCAAAGACATTTAGTCCATCTCCAAGAGTTGCCAAAGTCCTAATAGTTTCAGCATTGCTGAACAGTCCAAATCCCAAGTCTCTGCCAAGATCTATGGCAAACTCTTAACTGTAACCCGTTGTACAAATGAAACAAGGTTAAACATTTCTGAAATGCAAAGGTACAAGATAAACATTACCATTCCAAAAGTTACAAACAGGGGAATATAAAGCATTGGAAATAAAGCAAGTTCAACATCCAGGGGGGCAAACATTAAGTCCTAGAGTTTCATGCTCAGCATTTGAAGCAGTCTGGTTGCAAGCTCCAAAAGGCTTGGGTGATTCCACCCCCATGGCACTTCCAGGGATTTCAGCTCCCACAACTTTTCTCTTAAATCCTCTCTGCTCACTTTTTGCAGCTTTCCGTGGATCACCTGTTCCTGGCTTTTCCAAACTTCTGAGGTCTCCACTGCATCTTTGGCTTCACCCTTACATCTTTACAAATTTCCCTCTCAGGGATACACTGCTTAGCCACCTAGGCCCTTTGCAATTGAGGTGGAAGCTGTCTTACCCTCAGAATTTGTGCATTTTCCTTGCACCTAAAATCAGCACCATGTGAATGCCACCAAGGTTTGCTGCCATCTGGAGTAGTAGCCAGGCTTTTTTCTCTCTTGGCTGTAGGGTTCGATTGCCTGGATCATTGCGCTCTGTGAAACTGATTGTAAAGAAAAGCTTCTCTATGTTGCTGCCATTCTGGAACCTCATGTGGCCTCCATCGCTATTCTGGAGCATAGTGTGCTGCAGCTTTCTCCTCTGAGAAAAATTCTTTCACTTTTCAGTTTTGAGGCTGCAAAGGGTGGTGACCCACTGCTTCCTGGGATACGCCGGGGCCATCTTTCTTATCTCTCTGTTTCGTCTCAGCAATTGAAGTCTCAACTCCATCTTTATAATCCATAGCTTTTTGGAGTTTTCCTTCTGGCCAAACTCACAGTATTGTAAATTATCCTGCTGAGCTCTTTGCTCTTGATTTGCAACATAAAGCTGGCTTTTAAAAGCCCCCAACAATAGTCATGCCACAGCCTCAACATTTGACTGCCTTGAAATTTCCTTTTCCAGGTTAATCAGTCCATTGCCCTTTGTCTCAGTCTCAGGCAAAGTCTCTGGGCAGGAGCAAAACTTTCTGCCAAGCCGTAACACACATCATGGGGAGTCCAACAACCAGTGCAGTCCTTCTTCCCAGCAGAAACCTCCAAAGCCTGGTCTTTACCATGAGGCTTTCAGTCGGTGTTCTGGTCTTCTGAGTTCTGACCAGAATCTTCTCTACAGAACAGTCTAAGCTGCTCCAGCTCTATGCATCCAGGTGACATTTCAGAACCTTTCCAAACTCTGCCCACAAGCCTTTCCAAAGCCTCTCGAGAAACATGGTCAGATAGAGTCACAGCAAACGACCCCACTCCTCTGTACCAAATTCTGTCTTAGTTACTTTTTACTGATCACTAAGACAAAACACCTGATGCCCAAAGTTGGGAAAGGAAAGGTTTATTTCTTACAGTTTTTTGGAGGTTTCAGTCCATACTCAGTTGGCTTCAAAGCAGGGTGGCATGGCGGAGCCGCACTTCATGGCAGCTGCAAACAGCAAGGTGGAAACCACCAAGAGAGCAAGACATGCCATCACATCCTGGCTCCACCCCTATGTGGGTATAGCACTGACACCATCAATCCAAGCACTATACAATGAACCAATCACAGATGCATAATGCAAACGCATGAGGCCTGGGTGCCACTGATATAAACCATGACATGGTTCTTCCATGATTAGAATTCAGATTAGCTCTTGTTATCAGGGAGGTCATTACCTTGTTCAGAGACAGAAATACAAAGGTTCTTAGTCATTATAATCATTGTATCCTATAACGTAGTGTGTATAAAGTATAACAAGGATGGAAGATAAGCACCACAAGCAAGCCCTCCTATCTGTAGACTGGGTATGGGGAAGGGGAAACATGGGGTAACACTAACACAGATGATGCTAGAGTTATGAAAGAAGCTGCAGAGGGATAGAATTTAGAAAGTGCTCACGGAAGAAAACTATTTTTGAAGTAATATTTATCCTGAACATTTAAAATAATTATTGGCTATTTGTGGTTTAGAACTACTTGAATTTAAAGCAGTGTCTGTGATGTTTGCCCTGATGCTTGGGCCTAGTGATTCTCTGAATTGCTGGACAAATTGTGTTTGTGAGCTCATGTTCCTTAAAGTTTTGTCTGTGAAATTACTTTGATGCTTTTAGTGTGGTTTTATTGTTCCACATACCTGGAATCATTATCAGCTCATCTATTTTTATTTTAAAAAACCACAACAGTATTAAGGTATAGTTGATGTAGTAAAATGCACATATTTGTACAATACAAAATAGTATATTTTTGAATGTAGAAACCTATGAAATCATTAATATAAGTAAATATAGTGAACATATTCATTACTTCTAAAAGTCTTTATCTGCCACTTCATTGTCTCTCTCATTCCCTAGTGTCCTTTCCCCAAGCAAATGCGGATCTGATTTTGTCTCCATAGATTAGTTTGCATTTTCTAGAGTTTTATAAAACCAGAATCATACAGTATGTACAGATAAGTGTTGCTTAATGTGGTGATATGTTCTGAGATTGGTGATTTCAGTGTAGTGCAAATATCATAGAACGTACTTGTACAAATTTAGGTGAATTAGCTTACCACATAGCTAGGCTTTATAGCATAGTCTATTACTGTTAGACTATGAACTTGTACAATGCATTTAATGTATTGAACAATGTAGAAGTAAAACTTACTGAACCACAGGCTGAAAACTAAGTTTTCAATTCCTTTGGTAAATACTTAGAAATAAACTTGCTGGACCAGATGTTCAGTGTATATCTTAACTTTATAAAGAACTGCAAAGTGCCTTCCAATGTGGCCTTGTCAGTTTGCATTCCCATCAGCCATGGATAAGAATTTCTGTTGTTGTCATTCTCACCAGCATTTGGTATTGTCAAGTTTTTTGAATTTCATAATTTGAGTAGATATGCCATGGTACCTCATTACGATTTTAATTTGCATTTTTCTAGTGAAATTTTGAGAATCTTTTTTTACAAGTGCTTTGGGTTGGGTTAAAGGGACGAATGCTGTAGTTAGCCCTAAGGATAACTGGAACCAGAACTAGTTCTACCACTTAAATTAGGCTAATAAGAATAGTACATATCAAGCATCATATAGGGTGGTCCTGGGCTCCATGTTCCAATGAGTACCTCTGTTCAGGGGCACACCAAATAATTCTTCTGGTATTAGATTTCCTCTCCTAGTGGATTTTTTATGGCCTGTAAAAAATGGAATCAGGCCTGTAAAATGGAATTTTAGGGTCCAGTAATGCTTTAAGTTTCCCACATAGCCGAATTAATGCTAAATTGTCACTGAGCCTTAGGTGCAGATTTGCTTCTTGCATGATAGGTAGATTCATGGAAGAGCATTCAGAGTAGAACTGCCTAAGTATAATCTGCAGGTTAAATTTGAAGATTGTGGATATCATTAAGTTTTGATTCTTTTCTACAGATTTGCCCATTTGGCAGCAGTAAAACTGTTAGAAGGGGCACAGAAATATGATATAGATGATGAGAATGAAATAGATGAAAATGATATGAAGTTTTTTATGAGGCATGGTGTGGAGGGAAGCACTGATGCTAAGGAAGATTTATGTCTGAGTGAGTCGGATAAAACCGATGCCAGAAGTAAGTATGTTGCCTCATATTGTATTGTGTTATATTGTTTGTATTGTATTTATTTTTAGTTAAATGATCATTTTATTGCTTTAGTACATAGACAAATTTATGCCACCAGGCCAGAGGCTGTGGATGACTCATATGTCCAGTTTGGTGAGGAGGACCCGCTTGGTCTTACAGTATTGAGCCAATTGGTGAGTCTAGATGAGAATCAGACAGAACTTGGCATCCTTATCATTCTTATTTCTCTCAAGATGCTTTCTTCCTGAGTGGCAAGCATCCTTTTTCATTTTTAATATTGGAATTTGAACTCAGGACCTTGCACTTGCCAGGCAGGCACTTGTGCCACTGAGCTATATCCCCAGCCCTCACTATGCTTTCTTAAATATGTAAGTGATATAGATCCTCAGAGAGATCAGGAGCAAGTCCTTTGGACTTAAGGCTCCTCAAGGTTTTATTACCCATCACAAAATGTTCTTGTGCAATATCATGAGGATCTCACAGGATCACTGATTTGTGAGGGTCTCAGGCCCTTCCCGGTCAGTTTGTAACAATCTGCTCCTTCATGTTGGGAACACCACAGTGATAAGGCAGAGTGACTGGGACAGGCCTTTCCTGGGAGTATGCATGTGATCCTTGATGGTGACCAGTTTATTTTTTAATTGTTTGTGCTTTGGTTTCTTAGAGATTCTTTGAGAATGAAGGATTTAGAACTACAGAACATGGTCTTGTAGAATTTATTTATTCTGGAATTATTTTAGGAGATATTTATGAAGAGACCATTGTCAGAAAACAAAGAAATTTCAAAAGATTGTTTCAGAAGGGACTAACAACATGCTAACACTTGTTTCTGTGGTATGCTCCATAGAAATGAGCTCTTAGCACCTTTTGTATACAATGAAGATCACTAATGCCCAGTTGGGGGTGCTTGCAGTCAGTGAAGGGATAGTATTATAGCAAGTCATGTGCTGTATTATTATCCAAATTTAATTTTTTTTAGAGGAAAAGAAATCAAAGGACTAGATGATACCTTCTTGGGATACTAGTATTTTGCTAGAGCAGCTACAAAGGACTGGTTGGATTTTTTGACATTCTAGATATTCCTGGAAATGAGCTTCAGTTCAGGGAAGTTTTTTGTGAATTAGGTTTAAGGCTATGGCATCACAGAGTCCTATAACTATCTGAGGTTTAACTACTTGTTCTAGATTGCTGTTACATGTCATCTAACCTCCATTCAATTAGTACGTCCAGTAACAAGGAAGGTCATTTTCTTTTTGACAGTTTCTATGAGGATTTAAATGTGCAAAGTATTTAGTGTAGTGTCTTACACATCATGCATTTTATAAATATGATAGTTATTATTTTTGTTGCAAATTTTGCCCTTTATTCAGTTGAAATCTGTCATCCTGAAGTTAATCCCAGTTAATGCTAGCTTTTACCTCTGTGAACCTCAAGAACAGGTCTTTGAAAACATATCCTTTCAAATATTGCAAGCTAAATAGCTATAACTTTTTCAAATATGGCTTTTATCATGTGTGGTGGTTCTGTTTATCCCACAGGATTATCTGAGGAGATTTTATTAACCATAGATGCCTGAATTTGTAGGTATGAAATAGAGTTCAGTATATTTTATTTAATATACCTCAGTTGATTTTGGCAGCTGTAGTTTGGAATTTGTAGCTCTAACATCTTGGCAGATCAATCAGAATGGTATATGTTAGGAAGAAGAGGCTGTAATTTGTTATCTTGGTCCTTGGAAGCAGAATTTCTCAACTTTTTTACTCTTGATATTTTGTTCCAGAAAATTATTTTTGTTTTGAGGGGGAGGGGTTCCTGTCCATTATAAAATGTTTAGTAATATCCTGAGCCTCTGCTGACTAGATTCCAGTTGCCTGTCCTTTTCTTCCTCATTCTGAGTTGTGAAAAGCAAAAAATATCTCTAGATATTGCCAGTTGTCCCTTGAGTGGTAAAATCAGCTCTCATTGAGAACCACAGCCAAAAGGATGGAAAACAATTTTGACAGTTGGAGAATAGCTCGAAAAATCTTTCAACATACTTTTTCCTTCAACTATCCTCTAGTAGAGTTTTTCTTTTTGCATAGATATACAAGTAACTAATCACAAAACTTGAGGCTGAATTCTGGTTTATTTAAAATTAGTCATGCATATTTAACTTTTTGGAAAATTTATAACATACTGTAGATAATATATGATCCTATTATATAGCACTAGTCCTAATACACTGCTGGTTTTCTTTAAACATTGTTCATAGTGTTAATAGTTATCATAAGTTGATACTTGCCCTAGTAGAAGGGGAAGAATCTCCTACTTAGGTATATCATTGCTTGTTCCTTCAAATATTCTATTAACAATATTTATCCTTTTATGTGTAATATATGCTGCTCTCCAGCTTCCTACTCAACCACAGAGACAGTGGCTCTAGGAGGAGAAAATGTATGAGAGGATTAGTACCCTGAGAACATGTTATCTATCTAAATTAGGTTCTTATTCAACTGTCTTGCAGTGAGAGCTTATAAGAAGATTATAGAATTGAGACACCTACTGGAAATTGCTGAGAGCAACTACAAACATTTGGGTGGGATAACAGAAGAGGATCTAAAGCAGAAGAAAGAACAGCTTGAGTCTGAAAAGTAATGTCCTTAACACTGAATTTGTATTTAGGTACCTTTCTGAATACCATATGAAAATTTTTTGATTAGCAACTTGTTCTTTTTTTTTTTTTTTTTTTTTTTGTCTTTTTCATTTTTATCGGTACCAGGGATCGAACTCACGACCGCCTGCTTGCAAGGCAGGTGCTTATGCCGCTGAGCTAAATCCCCAGCCCCCAGCAACTTGTTCTTTCATCTCATCAAGCATATTAGGATCCATCAAAGCTCCTAGATGGAAGATTTAAGATTCTTTTTTTAAAAATTGTGGTAAAATGCATTATTTTACCTTCTTAGCCATGTTAAGTGTTTAACTCAGTAGTGTTAAATACATTCACATGGTTGTGCAGCCAATGTGCAGAACTGTCTTCATCTTGCAAAACTGACGCTCCTTAAGGAATTGAGATTTTTTGAGACCACAGCTATGTTGAGCTTTCAGCCAGCACAAATGACAGTGTTTTAACATTCCCATCAGAATGAACTGCACACTCAAAGAATCTGAGAGCCACTCCTGGCTCACTGACTGTAGCACCCATGAGAGAGTGCTCTTGTGCCTGGAGGCTGCGAGCAGTTGTTTACTGTTTCTCCATTTACTTGCTCCACCCAAGGTTGGCTCCTTGGATATCTGGTACTCCTCTGATTAATTAGTGGCTGCTGGACTAGACGATTCATGTGCTTCTTCTCTTCTACTGCCTCTATACCTGTGCGTCTGCTTTCTAGAGAGAAAAGAAAATGAGATTTCTAATTTAGCTCAGATGCATATCTCTAAAGAGAATGGCATATGGATTCCCTTTCTCCTACTGTGCTTTCCATGCCCTTTCCTTTGCTTGTGTCTCTTTCCTTCATACCCTTAAAAGCTCCTGTTTCCCTTTCCTCCTCCTTTTAAACTAGCCTCAATGAAAGGTCCACTAAATATAATCAGAGTAATATCTAAATATTAACACGTACTACTTCCATGGATGGATAACTTGTATATTTAAGCAGAAGACAAAACCTTGGTCTAAAACATTCTGTCTCCTACTGTAATTTTAAATACTGGGAAGTTGCTGCAGAACACTGGAAAAAAATGAGTGGTCTTCTTGGAAATAGCATCATGTAGGCAGCCATCCACTGCCTCATAGTATTTAAAGTGGTTTGAGATGTAGAATACTTTTATTATTGGCCTTGCCTGAAGATTCTAATTGAAAATTCTTAGAACCTTTGTAATCTAGAAAAGCTCTTCATAGTAGAGCAATTATTTCTTATAAAATTTCAGTTTCCTTGGCTCTCTTCTAAAGCAGATCACTATACTACCACTACTGCTGATTTCTATATAACCAATATTCTGAACACTACTGTCTGCTGGTCACTCAATAAGCAACATAACCCATGTAAATTTCACAACCCCTTGAGCTATTATAACATTCTGTAGATTTGGAAACCAAGACTTAATATAGAGGCTAAGTAACAAGTTAACAAATGGAATAGTAAGAGGAGAGGTATAGCCAGAATTTGAGGCTGTCTGTGACGCCAACCTGTTTAACAATATGATTTTAACAATCCTTAAAGGAACTTTCACTCTAATGGTCACAGAATAGTCTGTCAGAGTGAAATGGTATTCAATATAAGTGTGTGTGCATATGTGGCACTGGGGACCAAACTGAAAGCCTTGTGTACTACAGGCAAGTACTTCACCACTGAGCTGTACTCCTAGCTCTTAACATGATTTTCGAACTGATTATTAAAAAAGAATTTAAAAATTGTGTTAACCTTTGCACCAGAATGTGCCTTCATATCGGGTAGGACTGCATGATTTAAATTGCATTCTGAGTGAGCTTTAATTTTTCCCTGTTGGTCTCCACTTTGTGTTAAGCACGTCTTAAAACATTTACTCTTTGGGTAAAACTCCTGATCATAAATATAGTTGTACAGAAAAGTAGATACATACTGATTTGAGGGATATTCTTTGATTTTTTGTTGTTACCCATTAGATCAGACTCATAATACAACAAAATACAATTGTATTACTCTATCCTGATTTTCCCTTCTTACATGCTGAACTTCCAGGCTTCCATCGTCGACATTCCTCTTCCTTATCGCTCCGTATATCTGTACCAGAACTACTATTGCATACTCTTAGACTGCCCTTCTTAGCACCTGACCCCAATCCAGCATGCTTTTGGAATTCTGTGCCTGTCACCACCCAGCTATATGGCAGATAAAATCCCTGACTCAAGTTAGCACTTTTTGTCTAGATTTAGTTTGTGTTTGTGTGTGTGTGTGTGTGTGTGTGTGTGTGTGTGATACAAGCTTAGAGCCTTCACATTGAACAACATCTCCAACCTTTTAGTTTTTTTCTTTTGAGACAAGATCTTGCTGCGTCACTAATTTACATAGGCTGGGCTTGAACATTTGTTCTTCCTGCTTCAGATTCCCACAATGCTGGGATTATTGTTACAAGCCCCACTTGGATTATTGTAACATTCTTCCAATAATCTCCCAGATTTCTGTCCTTGTACCCTAGACCCTACCCTTTACCATGTGGTCTGTTCTCAACACACCATATAGAGTGGTCATATTAAAACATAAGTAAGATCATGCTATTTCTCTGCTCAAACCCTCCATTGGTTTCCAGTTTCACTCACAGTGAAAGCTAAATCCTTACTATCACTTATGTGACCTTTCCCTGTGGTTTTCTTGTATTTCACCAGACATTCTTCAGTCTCAGGGCCTTTGCCGTTGTTCACTGAATCTGGAATATTCTTCCCTGATATCTAAATGTTCATCTCTCTTTTTTAGTTCAGGACTTTGCTTAGACTCCCCTGCTCAGTAAATACTTCCCTAGCTCCATATATGAAGTGTTAGTCTGATCTACAACATTTTATATCACTTTCTTTCTTTATTTGTTTTTCGCTCTTAGGATTTGCACCTTCCAACACACTATGTTATATTTTACTTATTTTTTTACTATTGGCCTGTCTTCATTCCTAAGGTAAAGAGGTCATATTTTGGCCTTTTGTCACTGTCCTTAGTACTTAGATCAAAGCTGGTTCATATTACACCCTTAAGATATAGTTGTTAAGTATTTCCTTCATTTTATTTGCCTTGAATACAACATATGGATACAGTACTTTCTACTATGACCAAAAAAATTGTTAGTTGACATTGGAAATTGATTGCAAAAATTTTTTTGACAGGATCATCAAAGAGCTGCAAGGCCAGCTAGAATATGAACGACTACGCAGAGAAAAATTAGAATGTCAACTAGATGAGTATCGAGCAGAAGTAGATCGTCTCAAAGAAACAATAGAGAAAATTCAGGCCCCTAACTCAGTGGCTATGGTTGGTATCCTTAATACAATTATTTTTCTCAAGAAATAGTAGTATTTAAGAGTAGCTAATAGTATAAGCTTTGAGTTAGAGCTATTTCTGTTTGCATCCTGGCTGTAATTTTTTGAGCTGGTTAAATCACCTAACCTCCTTGTGCTTTCCTTATAAGCTGGAGACGCTTTATACTTTTTTGAGCCAATGACAGGATTAAAGAATATATCTATGTCTACACATGTAGGATTAAAGAATATCTAGACTTGTAACCTTTTCTCTCCTTGCACATTCTTCACATTAATGTATTTATTGTGGTTAGAACATAGCTTGGTTTATAAGTATATAGTAAGTGTTATTGTAATTATTGTACTATATAAGGGAAACATTTTTTTGCAGTGTTGGGTATCAAACCTAAGACCTTATGCACTGTAGGCAAGGGGTCTACCAGTAAGTTACACCTCCAGCCCCAAGAAGAAAACATTTTTTATTAGCAGAGTAATCAATAACAATTCTAAGACAGCTAGAGGGTATGAAAATTTTGATATTCTAAAGAACATCGAATGGAATTCACTTTGAAAAGCTTTAGCTCCTGCAAAGAGCAGTTTTAAGAGTAGAAAGGAGCCAGCATAGAAGTTGTCCTAATATGCTTTTCCCAGTTCATTGAGTAATATAAACTTTTGTGTAACACTGTCACTCTACAAAGTGCTCTCATGTTATCTTATTGTATGCCATTTGATCTACTCCCATGAAGCAACCCAGTCTTGAAGGGGTTAAGTCACTTGACTGAATTCACACAGCTAGAATATCGGGATCAGTATGCAGTCTCTAGCCTTTTGGTTCTGTAGTCTTGGCTCTTTTTATAACAGGGATTATGAATTTGGAATTCAGAATATTGATTTAGAAAATACATAGATAAAAGAATACACAAAAGAAAAAAGCTAAAAATAAATCGAGAATGAACAGCTACAAAGAACAAGTACAGAAAACAGCAAAAGTGACAGCAAAAAACCTGAAGTGGTATTTGTATTTCAGGCATTCTAGTCTCAAAGTAGATAGGCAGAAAGAGTACTGGGGGAAGCTTGAACTCTCATCATTCTCTGCAAGTAAAGATGGCCATATGTGGCCCCCTGGACAGCTTGTGATGCAGGGTGGGGATTCAGATATGGTTCATATTTTCTTTCCAGAGAGGTTTTTGTTCAGTTATTAGAGATGAATTGTATTCTAGACCTGTGCACTCCATTTTATCTGTAACAAAAATTTCCTGTTTATTTTTATTTTGCAAAAACTGAACACTGGTATTTTAATAAACACTTTGAAATAATTTGCATTTCAGTTAGCAGTGTGTTGTAAAATATTAGTGTAAGATAGAAGCAGAAATATTAAGGTGTTTGGACATGTATGATATAGAGATAGGACTGAATGATTTTTCAAGGAGCCTCCTGTCTTATGATTCAGGACAGTATAAAGCTTTTAACACTTCAGGTTTGAGAATTTATATAAAATCCTAAGATAAATTTAATCAGACCTGAAAATACTTGGTGTGGTTGTTTTCTTTTGAAGAGACAATGCAGAAAGGTGAAAATGTGTCTTTAGCATGAAAATTTTATTTGACCCTTTTTCTTGTTTATAGGAAGATGACTCAGGTGAGTCCAGCAAAGAGAAGAGGCAAGTGAAGAAAAAGATGTCTTCTGGGGGGATGTTTGTAAGAAGGTGCTAATCAATGAAGTAACTTTAAATGTTTGATCTTCCTTTCATTGTAAAAATTAAATGTATATAAATCTATAAAAGGGTAAACATAGTTAGCTCTACATGTACAATTAGATTTTGCTATCTTTACCTTAAATTTTTCAAATCTGGTTGCAGAAAGTACCTTTCATTAAACTTCACTGGCCAAAGGACAAATCTAATGGGCATGTTTAGGGCTCAAATCCAACAGAAGAAAAGTGGGATGGCCCAGTGCAGTTAATAATATGGAGTACAGTCCCTTCCAGTACACTTCCAGTTTACTCTGATATGTCTATATAGCAAATGAAGAGGATTTTGCAAGTATTCACATAAATTATAAAATATAGATGGTATAGTCTAATCCAGTTATCTAGTTCTAGATGTTAAAAATTAGTAAAAATTCTGTTTTGGCTCCATGATAGGAATATATTATTTGTCTCACTTTTCAGAGTAACCTCTGCTAATGTGCATAAGTTATAAAATTTTTGCTTTTTTCTGATTATTTAACTTTAAATACATCTAGTCTTGGGAGAAAATATAAAGACCAGTAAATTTTAGAAAAAAACAACTTTACTGTGGCAACCGTTTTACATAAAAGGAAAATCTCATTTAAAAAATGTGCTTGCTAAAAATGTCCATGTAGGCTGGGCCAACCCCTCAGCTGAGAACACCTGGGCAGACCCAGCATGGCCTAGCCACCTTGGACTGCTGCCATTGGGCCCACCCCTTGGCCGGGAACACCTGCGCCACACCCAGCATGACCTAGCTACCTCGGATTGTCACCACTGGGTGCACCCCTCAGCCAGGAACACCTGGGACACCCCTGGTACCACTGAGCCACCTTGGACTGCTGCTGCAGGCCCACCCCTTGGCCCACACGCCCTGATCACTGCTGCAGCCCCATCCCTTGGGAACCCCCCCCCCTTGACCTAGTACTGCAGTTGATCTTTGGATACAGTCCCTTCTCCCAAAACCTTGGACTACAGTGGATTACTGTGCTGGCTGGATATGAGACTTAAGAACCTCTCACCCAAACAGAAGACCTCAGCAGGCACCAGTCAGTGTGGTGAGTTTGCCCCTAAAATAGAGGTCCTCAGTAGGTAAATAGGAGCGGAAGTGAAACTCCCTCCAACTGTAAGACCTTGATGAACCTCTCAAGAGAGTGGGTAATCCTCTCCTCCACACAGAGAACATCAGACAGGTTGAGGAGTGTGCCAATACCCCCTCCCCCCCAGCTTGGAGAAAATTAAAAGAGCTTATGAGACCTCCAGTGACACAGTAGGTCCTCAGTTGACACAAACACTATAGACAGGGAGATCTGGTGACCTGCAACAACCTGAAGACATAGCAACAGCAGGAACTAAGAGTTGACCTACATCAATACTTCTAGGCTAGTTAGCCCAGAAAGAATACAGGATTCACCCAACAGGCCCTGCAGGAGGAATTCAGGTGACTGGCTCCCCTCTTCATTGTGGTACTCAGCAATTGGACAAATATCAACCACACAGTAGGACCCTAAAATTCATACTACACACAGTTGAGACAGTTGGGATTGAAAGACCAAATATTTTCCCAAAAGGTGAAAATGACAAAACAAAAAGGCAAAATGCAATCTCTAACATCTAGTCCTTTAGGACCAAGTATAGACAACATTGAAATAGAGGACTCTAAAAGTCATACACCAGAAATCTCTGAAAAGATAGCAAATGATGTAAAGAAACAAATCCATGAGGCTATAGAGGAAATCAAATTAGAAATAATACCTTATGTAAAGACAGAAATAACAACCTTAGTTAGATGAGTTGCTCAACATAGCTAGGGAAGAAATAGATAAAAAAAAAAAATACAAGAGCGTGGGAAATTGAAACTGAATGAATGATGCAGAAAACAAGCAAAATCCAGGAGACAAATTCAAAGAGATATCCAAGAAACAAAAAATTCTATTGAAAGCTGGCAAAACTATTTAAATGAAGCTGAGGATAGAATTTCATACCTTGAGAACAGGATCACAGTGATCATGAAAGGGTAGAACTTATAAAAACAACAAAGCAGCATGAAATGACAATCCGGCAGCGTCAAGACGATGCCAAGAGAAACAATAAAAGACCAATAGGCATCAGTGAAGATGCAGGAGTCAATGCAAATGACCTAACGAAACTACTCATAGAAGTAATAGCAAAAATTTCCCAAACATGGAGAAAAAAACTGATATACAAATAAGTGAGGCATACAGAATGCCAAACAGTTACAACCAACATAAATCTACACCCAGACATATAATAATTAAGATTCCAGACATACAGCATAAAAGAGAATACTAAAAGCTGTTAAAAAAAAGACAAAACGTACCTATCAAGGAAAGCCTATTAGACTCACGGTAGACTTTTCATCACAAATCTTGAAGTTAAGACAAGCTTGGAGTGGAAGTATTTCAAGCCCTAAAAGAAAACAACTTTGAACCCAGACTGGTGTACCCAGAAAAACAGTCTTTCAGATTTAATGGCAAAACAAGATACTTCCATGACAATGAACACCTGAAGGAATTCATGTCCACCAAACCAACCCTAGAAAGAGTATTGAAAAACATACTAGATAGAGATAAAAATGACTATAATCTCCAGAACAATAACAGAAAGAAACCACCAGGCTGGACAAAAATTAAACAAGGGAGAGAAGCAGGAAACCAGCAATAGGAACACAGCATGGCAAAGTCAAGCCAGTACATATCAGTGATATCCATAAATGTAAATGGGCTCAATTTACCTATCAAAAGAAACAGGTTGACAGAAGGGGTCAAGAAACAGGATCCCACAATATGCTGTATACAAGAAACACATCTGACTCAAAAAGAAACTCACAGATTAAAAGTCAAAGGATGCAAAAATAGTATTCCATGCAACAAGACCCCAGAAAAATGCAGAGATAGCTATTTTGTTTGCAGACAAAGTGAACTTTAAACCTAAAAGGATTAAAAGAGATAAAGAAGGCTACTTACCTGTAAGAAAACAACTACAAGAGGAAGAACTAACAATTATAAATACATATGCACCAAATACAGGAATACCCAACTATATAAGACAAATACTAATGGACATAAAAAACCAAATACACAAGAACACAACTGTAATAGGAGACCTTAACACCCCATTGTCACAAAGAGATAGATCAACTAGACAAAAATTCAGCAAAGAAGTAACAGAACTGAATCATACCTGTGAGTGAATGGACTTAATGGATGTTTATAGAGTGTTCCACCCAACCACATCAGAATATACATTCTTCTCCGCTGCACGTGGGACATTCTCCAAAATAGACCATATATTAACCCATGAAGCATTCTTAACTAAATGCAAAGGGAGCAAAAAGATCCTATGCATAATATCTGATCATAGCGCACTACAATGAGAAATCAATGGCAGAAACCCTGCAAAACCAGCATAAATGCATGGAAATTAAATACTAATCTTCTGAATAACCAGTGGGTTACAGATGAAATTAAAGGAGAAATAATACAATGAAAATGCAGATACAACATACTGTTATCTATGGGATGCAATGAAAGCAGTCCTAAGAGGGAAATATATAGCAATAAATAAACACATCAGGAAAATGGAATGAACACAACGTAATGCTACATCTCAAGCTTCTAGAAAAGGAAAAGCAAGTCAGACCCAATGCTCATAGAAGAGAGAAAATTGTAAAGATTAGAGCAGAAATGAATGCAATTGAAACTAAAAAAATATTCATTTTTTTTTTTTATTGGTACTGGGGATCGACTCATGACTGCGTGCTTGCAAGGCAGATGCTTAAGCTGCTGAGCTAAATCCCCAGCTAAACTAAAAAAATACAAAGAATTAATAAATCAGGAGCTATGTTTTTGAGAAAATAAAATTGATAAACCCCTGGCCAACCTTATAAAAAAAAGAAAAAAACTCAAATCCATACAATAAGGACTGAAAAGAAGGAAATTACTACAGATCCCATGAAAATTCAAAAGATCACAGACATCTACTTTGAAAATCTCTACTCAGGGTGGAAAACACAGAGGAAATGGACAGATTTCTAGGACCATTTTGAACTACCAAAGCTCAATCAAGAAGATACAGCGATTTTGAATAACCCAATATCAGCTACTGAAATAAAAAACGTGATTAAAAACTTAAACAACAAAGGAAAGCCCAGGTCCAGATGGATTCATGGCTGAATTTTATAAGAAATTTAGAGAAGATTTAATGCCAGTATGCCTTAAACTCTTCAATGAAATTGAAAGAGAAGCAGTCTTCTCTAACTGATTCTTGGAGGCAAGTATCACTCTGATCCCAAAACCAGAGAAAGACCCAACCAAAAAGGAGAACTATAGATAGTCTCAGATGCAAAGATTATATAAAAAAATTGCAAATAGAATGCAACAAATCATCAAGAAGATTATTCACCACAACCAAGTGGGATTTATTCCAGGATTCCAGGGATGGTTCAATATACATAAATCAACAAATGTAATACACCACATCAATAGAGCCAAAAATAAAAATCACATGATCATCTCAATAGACACAGAAAAAGCTTTTGATAAAGTCTACCACCTTTTTATGATAAAAACCCTACAGAAACTTGGAATATATGGTATGTACATCAATCTCATAAAGGCTATTCATGACAAACCATCAGCCAACGTCATACTAAATGGACAAAACTGAAAGCCTTCACTCTAAAATCAGGAACAAGACAAGGATGTCCGCTATCACCACTCCTATTCAATATAGTTCTGGAGATAGTAGCCAGAGCAATCAGACAAGAGGGAGAAATAAAAGGAATGAAAATAGGAGGAAGAAGTTAAATTATCATTATTTGCAGATGACATGATACTCTACATAGAAGAACTCAAAAGCTCCATTAAAAGACTACTAGAGGTAATAAATTCAACAGCATAGCTGGATACAAAGTTAACACTCAAAAATCAATAGCATTCTCATAAACAAAAAAATTCCACGAGAGAGAAATTATAGAAATACCACCTTTCACAATAACATCTGAAAAAATGAAACACCTAGGAATCAATCTAACCAAGAATGTAAAAGACCTAAATGCTGAAAATTATACTACTATAAAAAAAGAGATTGAAGAGTATATTAGAAAATGGAAGGATCTTCCTTGCTCTTGGTTAGGAAGAACCAACATTGTGAAAATGGCCATACTCCCAAAACTGTTATACAGATTCAATGTAATCCCAATCAAAATATCATTAACATACCTTACAGATTTAGAGAAAATAGTCCTAAAATTCATCTGGAAATAGAAGAAGCCTAATAGCAAAAGCAATTCTGGGCAACAAAGGCAAGACAAGAGGAATCTCAATTCCTGACTTGAAACTGTACTACAAAGCCACAGTAATAAAAATCAGCATGGTATTGGCAAAGAAATAGACCTGAGGATCAATGGATTAATCTAATCTAATCAAACAGATTAGAAGATGCAAACACTACTACAAAGATACTCAGCCACCTTATATCTGACAAAGGGACTAAACATGTTCATTGGAAAAAAGATAGCCTCTTTAATAAATGGTATTGGAAAAATTGGCTTTCCACATGCCAAAGATTGAAAATAGATCCATGCCTATCACCATACACTAAACCAAAGTAAAAATGAATCAAGGATCTAAATATTAAAACAGAAACACTAAATCTACTGGAAGACAAGGTAGATAAAAATCTTGGGAGACATAGGGGTAGGGAGAGAATTCATGAATAAAACACGAACTACATGGGAAATACTTAAAAGAATCAACAACTGGGATGTCATATTACTAAAAAGTTTTTGCACTTAAATCACCAAAAATGAGAAGAAAACCCACAGAATGGGAAAGGATTTTAGCCAGCAACCCCTTGGACAAAGGACTTATATCCAGAACATGTAAAGAATTGAAAAATCATGGCCCCCAAATTCAAAGACCATGAAAAAATGGGCATCTGAGATGAACACACAGTTCTCAGGTGAAGATACACAAATGGCAAATAAATAAATGAAGAAATGTTCACCATCACTGGTCATTCAAGAAATGCAAATTAAAACAGCATTGAGAAAGAATAGCTGCCATCAAGAAATTAACTAATAAAAATGTTGGCAAGGATGCGGGGAAAAAGGAACACTATTCCACTGTTGGTGGGAGTGCAGACTGGTGCAACCACTGTGGAAATAAGTATAGAGATTCCTCAAAAAAGTAGGATTGGAAGTTCCATTCAATCCTAGTTTCCCCTCCTGGGTATTTTCCCAGAAAAATTGAAAAGGTCATGTCATAGTGATATATGTACACCATGTTCATAGCAGCACAATTTGTGATAGATATAATAGATATTGTAAATACAATATTTAAATATTGTAAAAATGAAAGATAAGGAAAGTGCTCTAAAAGATATAATGGTATCTATAGTGTGTAAGATAGATGACAATATTACTAAATTTCTATTAGATCATTGAACAGAAGAGCTTGCACTGTCAATGTTTGAGTGTCTAGCCACTTTTTATGCTTTGATTGTGTAACTTTAGCAACTATTTTAGGATGACAATATGTAATATATCAATTAGAGATTTTATGATGTTAATTTTTTTGAATTTGTATTCTTTTTTCTCATTTTTCTACTTTGTTTTTTAATTTTCTTTTCTTTCTTTAAACAAAATAAAAAAATTTTAAATGCCCATGTTAATAATCGGCTTCAGAACTTAACCTTTCTTCTAAAGGTTTATAAGCTTTATAAGAAAAGAATATAGATCAGAGACAGACTGGACAGAATAAGAAACATATGGTTTAATTATTTCTCCCCTAAAACATTAGTTGTTTTTCGCTGGTCAAAAATAGCTTATGTTTCAATTCAGTTTGATTTATACTTCTGATTTTCCCTTCTTGTCCTGAGCTAGCAAAGATTTGTAACTTTTTTGGGGCAGCTGTGTAGAACCCTTTTCCTGAAAATCTGATTGCTAGCTTTGGGGTTCACTGGAGGGAGCTTTCTCATCATTCACCTGGCTGCCCACCCTCAGGATCCTCACATACACTTCTTAAGGATGCTAAAGGCTATTTTTATTTATTTGGTATCAGAAATTGAGCTCAGAACCTCATGCTTGCTAGGCAGGCACTGTGACACTGAGCTATATTCCAGGCCCTAAAGGCTATTTAAAATTTTTTAAAATTATTTTGAAGGTAGTAAAATACAATAGAACAAGACAGAACAAAGCCAATTTAGACAGTGCAGTGAAATTGGTACAGAATGTCACAGCAGGTTACCAGGATAACAGTAATAGGTACCATAGTATATCTTATTATCTTCAAAATAGTTGTTCTTTCAATCAGGTATAACAAAATCAAACCAAATACAGAACATTATAGAGCTTATCAAAACAGAATATTCAATAGAGTAATACAATTAATCAGAACCAAGCAAAACAGTGATAACAATATTTACCTTCAAAGAGATGGTAGAAGAAAATACCCCCTATTTGCTATATTGCATATGTTCAGCCTCCCAAGAGACGCTCAGACCTCTCGCTCCCATTTGCTAGTGGGGGAAGGGGAGGAAAGGATGCTTGATTCTCAGCCCCCGACGGTAGGCATGGCTGTTTACCTGGGAGGCAAGCGGGTTGCTTTGTTTCCTAGCACCCTAAGTTCCAATATGGTGTGGATCTCAGAAGACACTGGCTGGTTCTCTCCCTGGGGTGGTCACTGCTTGCTTGAGCCATGGCTGCTTACCAGGAAGATGAGCTGGTTGCTTGGTTTCCCAGCACCCTAAGTTTCAATATGGTATGGATTTCAGGAGATGCTGGCTGGTTCTCTCCCTGGTTGGCCACTGCTTGCTCAAGCCAGGCTGCTTACCAGGGAGGCCAGCGGGTTGCTTGGTTTCCCAGTGCCCTAAGTTCCAACATCCCTAAGGGCTATTTTAAATCTAATACCATCAGCACTAGTTGAAAGTGCATTCAATTGCTGAGCCCAGTTTAGGTTGGCCAAAGGTCCATAAGCAAGTGTTAAAAAAGCTTAGCTATCCTTTCAATAACCCTTTATATTCACTATTGTTAGTGTCTTTGAAGTTTCCAAAAGTCTTTAGTCTATAGTAATGATATTTTCTGGGTACTTACTTTGGGTGAGCTCTGTGTCGTATCCTTTACCACTTCTTAACTCTGTCAACATCAATACAAGGTAGGATTTTATAGACAAAGATTGGGTAGTGGTACCTTGGATTACACAATGATCTGGAGTTGGCAATGAAAGTTGTCTTCATTTTCCTAACCACTGCTAGAATCCAAATCAATCTTTTAGGACTGCACACAACCTTATTTTTTTCTCTAACTTTTTTTCCGCCTCTAACTTAAGATGCTAAAGTTAATTCCAACCCTGGAATCAGTTTATTATAGTTGTCCTGGTCTCTCTCTGCCTCTGATCTCTGTCTGTCCATTTCTTTCTGTACCAGTGAGCTATAAAATACTAGAAAGTTGTAATAAAAGCATGTATCTTGCGGCAGAAGTCCCCTGGTTGTCCTTCAACATCTGTTCTCTTGTATACTTACAGGATGTGCCTGGAGTTGCGGCTCTCAGGTTAAAGACTAACTTTCAGCTTTTCTTGCAGCTAAGAAACTAAGTTGTGACCAATATGATGTGAGCAAAGACAGTGTTACACTTGGGATCATGACCCTACATAGAAAGGGCTTGCCCACTGCCTGCCCCTTTCTTCATGTGGAATGTGGATGTGGTGAGTCACAGGACTCTGTCAATGAGGGCAATACCAAGAGCTAGGAGGGTAGTAGAATAAGAAATCACCTTGGCAGCCCAGACTAGAATATTAGTACTGAGAATGCTTACACTAGATTATAAAAGAGAACTAAGTCTGTATCTTACTTAAGTCACTATTCTGGGTCTTGTTATGATAGCTATATTAAAATTGTAACACAATTCCTAAATTATATTTATTTTAAAATCACATATATTACTGTCATTCGGGGTTAATCAAACATATAAAAGTGAAAAAGGTATTTCAGAGAGGCATATATTCTTCTGTTTTTATGACAGTAGATTGTCTATTTTTTGAGAAATACTATTCAAATTGGAGACGATTAATTTACTGAGGAAGAGTGTGAGATTTGGAGTTAAAGACTGGGGTCACCAGGCATAGTGATATACACATAATCCCAGCACTCTGAAGGCTGAGGCAGGAATATTACTGTGAGTTTGAGACTAGCTGGGCTACATAGTGAATTCAAGATTAGTCTGAATTACAAAATGAGACCCTGTCCCCCCCCCAAAAAAAATAAAATAAAACAGGACTGGGGATATAGCTGAGTGGCACAGTGCCTGCCTGGCAAGTATGAGGTCATGATTTCCAGTACCAAAAAATCCAAAACAAAACAACTGGGGTCTATGTGACTTATTTGCTAGGTGACTTTGAGCAACTCACTAACCTTATTTCTTAAGCTTGAGTAACTTCATTAAGCTTGTTTCTTAAGCTGTAAAATGAGGGTAATACTACCTACCTAAGAGAATAGCTATGAAAAATAGGTGGTTGATAAAAATGTTTGTTGTCACATATTTAATGATAGATGGTATTTCTCAGAGTTACAATCAGTAGTTGATTTGAGGGTGACCACATCCTATACTGTTGCTTCAGTTTTCTTTTATATTATTATTATTTTGCAGTAATGGGAATCAAATCCAGGGCCTTTTCTTTCAGGCATGTTTGATTTTTTTTGAGACAGGGTTAATTTGGCTAGGCTGTGTTCAAACATGTACTCTTTCTGCCTCAATCTCCCAGAGTGTTGGGATTATAGGTGTGTATCACCACGTGTAAACTCATTTTTTTTTTAAGACAGGGTCTCCCTATGTAGTTTTGGCCATGAGCTCATTATGTATGTAGCCCAGGCTGGCCTCAAACTCACAGAAATCCTCCTGCCTCAGCCTCCTGAGTGCTGAGATCAGACGTGTGTGCTACCAAGCCCAGCCTCATAATCCAGCCTCTTTAGTTTTAAATTCATTTTATTTATTTATTTATTTACTTACTTATTTATGGTACTGGGAACTGAACTAAAGACCTTGTACTTGCCAGGCAGGTGCTGTGCTGCTGAGCTATATCACGGCCTCTACTGTCTCAAATTTATATGCCAGTCTCTCCAATGAAATAGACAAGTACTCAAGCACAGGAAAATTGCCTAGCAGACGATCACTGTGGAAAAAGACAGCTTCAGACAGTAGATAGGGTTCTCAAGGGCCCAAAGGGCACTTGGAAAAAGCTCCTGAAAACAATGCAGAAACAGGAAGAAAAAGAGCACCCAGCCACCCATGGAAAGTACTGCAGCAGAAAGAAGCTTCAGCAGACCCAGCGCAGGGGTGGAGAGTAGCCTTGTGTGCAAACCCAGGAACTTGGCCAGAAACTCCTTCCACCTAGGAACAGAAGGCAGCCATTACGTCCTCCCTGTACGTTCCCTCATTGGGCAGATCTCCTATCCCTGCCAAAGCCCCGACAGGCATTTTGTGTTTAGAACATGCAGATGCTAAATTTAAAAACACCAAGGTAACTAAACCTGTATAACACTCCAGAAAAAGTCACTACAGTCTTTTATAAACTCACGCTTTTGTACCCCATGAACACTCTAGGCCAACCAGAATGAATAGTCTCACAAAGGAAAATGTATGCAGTAGACTAAAGCTTTCAGAGTTCTCTGGTCTCAGCTATGAGCAGCCTCACAGTTTCCCCTCATGAGGGTTCTTTATATCAAGAGATGTGTGTGTTCAGAATTCTTTGTCCAAATTATATGCTCCTTCTGTAGAAATCACTCCTGTAGAAAACCAAACTTCAGAAGATGCTTTTGAAAGAAAGATTTTGCAGCAGCCACTATTTCTGCTGCAGACACTGCTGTGGGCGATATATTCAACTTAGTATCAACTGACAACCAGATAGTGACACAACGGAAGTACCCCCATGGACACTGACCCCCAGCCCAAAAATTTCATTTCCCCATTGTGTCCTCGCCAGGTGGTCAGTTTGAAGCTCGGCTAAATCAATCATCCTCTCACCCCCAAGACTGACCTGAGAAGGCTTTCTCATGCTATCTGAACTTTGAAAACTTACTGCTCTGAGACCTATATGCTACTGGCCTGCAGCAAGCTCATCTCCAGTACAGGCCTCCTGATGAAGCAGCTCAGCAGCAAGTTGTGTTCCAGGTGGAATGGGACATGGACCAGAGAAAAAGTGAGACGTTCATCAATAAGACCACAGAAGCCCAGAGTGAACAGAAGGGGCAGGAGTCAGGGGAAGAGAAGACGACCACCCACTCTAGAACCTAGTGGGAAGCCTGAACCTTCTCTTACCATACAGGAGACCTGAATTCCATCCAGAGTCACAGAAGGTGGCTGTAGCTGTATCACCAGGGTATTAGGAAATGAGAGTTACATTTGCTAGGAGGCCTTTGTTTTTTTGAGATGGGGTCTTGCTATGTAGTACAGGCTTCTCTCAAACTCATGGCAAGCCTCCTGCCTCAACTTCCTGAGGGCCAGGATTAGAGGTGTGTACCACCACTCCCAGCTCAACAGGGCTTTTTCTGATTAAAGCAGCCACTCGGTTTATGGATGTATATAGTCTATGACCCCAGGAAGGAGCTCTTGAGGTAACTACTTTAGAGAGAAAGCCTGGACTCCAGAGGGATGCTGGAAGCAGCCCCATAAAGATCAGCAGCCCTCTGTGTGTGTGTGTATGGTGGGGGGTCCTGGTAGAAATCATAAGCTCTTGCTTTCTGGGATGGTGGCTATGGTGGTCCAGTCCATTTTCTACTACTGAGAACTTTTCCACTCAGACAGCTTTTCCAGTAGGCAGAGACTCACAGGATACCCAAATCATAATGGGAAGTTTCTGAAATGCATCTGACAAAGCCTTCTGAATAGCAGGCTTTGGGGCCAACTTCCTTTTCTTAAGGGATGACATTGGTCTTTTACTGGGTAGTTCTGGGAAAGTGGCTTCCTCTTGAAAGCCTTCTAGGCTCTTGAGCATCATTTGCTGAGTAAAATTTAATGATAGCCTAGAAACCAATCTGGGCCACAGCAGCCTTTTGGAGTATTCTTTTGAGTGCAGGTGGCTAAACTTGGGAGTGCTATGGACACAGACTGCATGTCTCCAGATGCTTTAGGTTTCACCCCCTTGGGCACGATATCCTCATTCAACAAGAATGACATGACATGCCTTGACATGCCTGTTGGCTGGGGGCAGAGTCCTTGGTGCTGGCTTCAGCTTCTGCAAGGGTGCCCGGCTCAGGTGACACCTTGTGTGGGATCTCCATCACTGCTGCTGCCATCTTCTGGGACCCTAGCTGCATGCCCCAAGCCCAGACTCATCTCTCTGAGCCTGCTGCCTTTACCAGTATGGGTTCTGCCACTGCTTCAGGCACTGCCTCTGTCCCTTCCCCTAGCATCACTGTTGTCCTCACCTTTTATTTTACCTTTACAAAAGGTTAACTGTGCAGTAGCTCTCAGGAAAATCAAATCTGTAAGTGTACAGACCAGGGAATAGTTTTCAAATCTGCAGCAGATATCAACAAAATTTTATTTATAAAGTTGTCCAAACACAAGAAAATTCTGGTTCCATTTGTATGAACTATCAAAAACTTAGAGTGAATGCTGCTTCATCTCAAACCAAGTTTTGGATGACAGCTTTTCAACATACATCAAGGTGAAATACCTGAAACACTTCTCTAGTCCGTATACACTTTGAATAATCCTGTAATAAGTTTCTTCAGCAATTGACAGTGCTGAAAAAAATCTCTTGTAATGTCCTAAGACGTCATTAGCAGCAATGGTGGCAGCATTAGTCCTACTTCCAGAATCTGTAAAATCCCAAAGCTATTGCCAGGCAAGTAAACACTGAGGCTATGGAAAAAAGCAAAAGAAGAAACAACATTACAGTTCATGCATTTGTGGTCATTTTGTTGAGAATAATGGAATAATATTACTTTCACATTAAATGTAGAGCTATAAACAAAGGAAATAGATTTTATACTCTATGTTTTTCATTTCCTAGAAAACTAAACTAAAGACAGAAAGGGCATAATTTATGTTAATTCTTCTTACACGTGTCCTGTATTTTAAGACACAATAAGGATGAAAATAAGGGGCCAGGGATTTAGCTCAGTGGTATAAGTGCCTGCCTGGTAAGTGAAAGGTCATGAGTTCTATCCCTGGCTCCAAAAATGAATGAAAATACTTTTAAAATACAGATAAGGCAAAATATATAAAAGTACTTAAATTCATTATTAACATTTCTTTTTCTAATTTCTTTTTCTTTCTCTTTTGGTGGTACTGAGAATTGAACCCAAGGTCTTGAACATGGTAGGCAAATGTCCAAAGCTACATCCCTAGATCTTTTTAAAAAAAATTTTATTTTGAGATGACATCTCACTGAGCTGCCCAGAGTGGACTTGAATTTGTGACTCTCCTGTATCAGCTTTCCAAATAGCTAGGATGACAAGTGTGCACCATACCTGGCTTTTATCTTATAAATGAAAATTTTTCTTTTATTAAACATTATGTAACAACATAACAAGACCCCCATCTCTTTAAAAAACTTTTAGAATTATTTAAAAAATGGGAATTTAATGAAAAATTTTAAAAAGCAAAGAGTTAGAATAAAAGTCAGAAAAAGCATAAGGCTTTTAGCTAATATACCAGCTGGTCTCTGTGTAACATTATTTTAGGTAGAAAATCTATCTGTTCTTTCAGCTTTAACAAGTTAGATTTGTGTGAGGCTTTTTAGGGACTCTCTTGTCTCCAATCAGTTTAAACAGCTACAAAAACATTTTTAAAATGGAAAATCTGAGATAAGAGATGAACTTTTAGGACTAAAAAATAAAGAAATTAGGTAAAGTATAGCTATCTAAATTACAATATATGTCTTAACTATAATCCCATTTGATTTTACTACTTAATGAAACTCATTTAATGATAAGATCATTCCTTCAATTTTAAGAAATGAGATTAGGCTTCTTTTAAGACACATAGAGAAAATAGCATAATCAAGTGTCTTGTTTTATTGCCCCTGGGAAATTATCTATTAGTTTACTAGATCTGCTACTATTTATCATGCATCAGGTGGCTTGTTAGTGTGGTGGGCAATCACATACATTACCTTATTTAATTGTAATTTAAAAAATTACAAAGTTTTTTTTGAGCATTTCTATGTATTCATTCTAGCTTGGCCTTGAATTAATTGAATTGTGACTATCCTCTTGCTGTCTCCCAAATGCTGCGATCACAGGCATGTACCATCATACCTGGCTCATCTTAATTAAAACCCAATGGGATTGGTGGTAGGATTCCCACTGACAGAAGGGGCAACAAGCCCAACGTTTTATCACTAGCAAGTGGTATAAGACTTAAGTGTATCTGATGTCAAAGCTCTATTATCCTGTGACACTTGTAGGACTCAATCTGATTTATCAATTTTTGAGCCCTATAGTGCTATTTAGGTAGTTATGTCCTTTGTTAACTTATGAGTTAGAGTTTTAGACTACTAAATGGACATCTGTTTATTATGAGGGAAGTATTTTATTCCTTTATAAGATTACATAACACAATTGTTTCTATGCTGTTTCTCTTCCAGCTTTTATTTTTTCTTGTCATTAAGGTTACTATGAAGCAACTGTAAATTGCTTTTTAATTACACATTTTTCTTTTTTATCGGTACCGAGGATCAAACTCACGACTGCCTGCTTGCAAGGCAGGTGCTTATGCCGCTGAGCTAAATCCCCAACCCCTCTGTAAATTGCTTTTAAATTTGCTGTTTATTTTTTATGGCCTGTTTAGGAGACATCCTATATGTATGTAAAATACTTAAGATAAATATGTGCTTGATACATTTTAAGCATTCTTCCTAAAACAGAATCTTTCGCATTAACCTATTTGTACAGTTTTTTCAATTTTTGCATGAAATTAATTTGTTAACCTAGAAAATTCAAGGACAAGAATTTGAAAAGAAATGTTTTTTATCTTGTTGCATTGTTGTGTGCCATTCCAAAAATAGAATATTAGGCAAAAAGGATTTGAACAGAAATTGCCATTATCTTACAATTGTCATCTTCTTGGTAATGATCCAAGACAGAACATTCAGATTACTTCCCTGAGCTTTTTAAAACTGGAACCAAGGAAAGAGGTAAATCTCTCTTAGTTGGTGAAAGTGTAATGATATGAGTCTAAAGAGGTGGTGATGTTTCTAATTCATGGAGGAAGTATGAGAAAGTGAGGCAAATATTCAGAGATATTATATAAAGATTCATCTCCACAGTTCCACAGTAAGCCAAAATACTTCTTCTAATGTCTAAGCTGGTTCAAGTTGATTATACAACACCTAAAACTAAGACAGTGACTGATACATGCTGAGACACCAAATAAGCAAAATAACCAAGACATAATTTGATAAGGATTTTTTTTCTTCCAATGAAATATAAGATCTTTGACAGCAGTCCCTACCCATCCATGATTGAATTTAGTATGTGAGTCTTGGATAAATGACAACATTTTAGGTATTAGTGAACTAATAAATCCATTCAATTAGGACACTGTCTTCCCAACTGTTCAACATTCTGGCTTTCTAAAAGGCTTTCTTAAAAAAGCAGTATGAAGAAGAATTTGGAGAAGGATGTGGAAAGAAAAGCACATCAGTATTGTTGTTTCCAAATCCTTCATGAAAAAGATGAGGAGGAGGACTTCAGAAAGTATTTTTTCTAAACAATGACTAACTTGCTAACTTTTTTTGCTACTGAAACTAAATCTGTTAGGTTGTACCTGGTATACCCTGCTCAAGGAAACCTTTCTAGAGATCCTCACTATCTTCAAACTGAGGATAAAGGAGATTTTGTTGTTAACCAAATATTGATTCTTTAGGTAAATATTTTGAAGGAAGCTCAGCGGAATTTGAAGCCCTCCTTAACTTGTGTTGCTTTGGAACTGATCTTAAAACAGGGAATAAATACTTCAAGCTGCAATGTTTTGAAATTTCCCTGGGCATTAGAATTGAACTGAAGGTCGCTAGTTCCAGAGATTGGTTAGAGTAAAAGTTTGCAAAACTTGTTTTAATCTTACAATTCTCTCTATAAATAAATCTTAAACAGAAACCTAATTTTTAAAAGATAAAAACTGAGCTTTCTTTTTGAAGACAGGAAGAAGATATGCATCAGCTGAAAGTTGGAACTAATTTTTCAACTCTCCTGCTACTCCAATAACCATGATGATTGCCCAGACAACCAGGGAAAGATAGATCAGCAATTTTATTTTGGATTATAGTTCATTAATACACAAATTCAAAATATGCCTCTTTTTGATCTGATTTTAAATATGCACAACTTTTTATATATAAATAGTAGCTGAAGGGTATAATGATGTATACATGTATATGAAAAATTAGTAGAATGCTTGTTAGTAGAAAGTTAAAACAGGCATTTTTATACATTGGAATACTATTCTATCTAATAAAAAAGTCAATATAAGTATTGATATTGAAAGGGTTAAGACATTTAGTTATATTTTCAAAAGTTGTGGAGATAAGCATGGTAGTATACACTTGTAATCCTAAGACTTGAGAGGCTGAGGCAGGAGAATTGTTGCAAGTATGAGGCCAGCATGGACCGTCTCAAAAAAACAGAAACAAAAAAAAGAAAATAAACTGAAAAGCTAGTTGTAGAGTGAACCATAATGTTATAATCTAATATTTATATATAGAGGAAAAGATTGCCTTTATAAATATACATTGGAGGGGTTTGGAAGGCTTTTACTGATTTTGATTTATACAAAATATATTACTTTTATAAAAAGGGAGGATAAATGCCACTTGACTATTGCATTGTTTCTAACTCACTGGGTGCCTACAATTTATAGGGCAGATGACTGCAGAGGAGTGACAAATCTAATTTTTCAGTAGTATCCGTGCTTAGATGATTCAGTGGGATATTTCCCACTTCCCTCTGCTTGCTATGTTTTAGACCTTTTTCTTAACCTCATTTAAATCCTTAGAGGTACATATGCAGTAAAAAGAAAAATTTTTGGTAGTGCGTGCCCATAAATCCCAGGTACTCAGGAGGCTGAGGCAGGAGGAGCCCAGCTTCAAGTTCAACTTTATAGCTTAGCAAGACTGTGTCTCAAAATAAAAATAAGGGCTGGGATGTTTCTTAGTGGTAGAGCAGTGGCCTAGCTTATATGATACTCTGAGTCTGATCTCCAGTGCTGAATTTGTTTTTCATTATGGAACACTTAGTTTATTCTTGCATCACTTTGTACAACAGTTTATATATGTTTCTGATTTTCATATGCTTTTTCTGAGTTGCTGAGTTGACTGGTAAATTTGTATCTTGAGACTGGAACTTTTTCCACATACTGTAGGGACAGACTAAAGGAACCTCGTTAAGCTCCTTTTCCCCCTGTACCTGCATGGTTACCTTGAGAGGCAGGAAATAACAAGTCTGAAAATTAAATGACAGCACTTCCTTTCTCTGATAGTCTTACCTGCGAGATAACGAATTGTCTCAAGTTTGTTAGACTCCATTAGTGTTTTTAAGGAAGCAATTTCAGCGTCAATTTTATTACTGGTCTCTGAAATAACACTTTTGATTTGGGTATCCTGTAGTAAATAAGGATAAATATAAGAATGAATGTTCGCCTATGTATTATTGTCAAAAACATTTACATTAGAAACCCTCACTTAAGTGCTAAGTGCACATTTCAGACTACATTGGGTGGGTTTATTGAAGAAAAGCAGTAAAAGCAAAATTGTATTAAAAATACTAAAGAAACATTGCAAACTGAAAAATTACATTCTTCCAATTTTTATATTTAGACGTAACTGCTTAGGATAATCACATACTGGGTATATTCTACTAAGTTTCATAAGATATTTGAGACCTAAATAAATAAGATGAAAAATTATGCAATATTTTCTATAATTCCTGAACTATCACTTTATGTTTGTAAGTTCCTTCAAATGTTATGTTTAAGCTTTAAACATATTTGGCAAGGGGCTGGGATTTAGCTCAGTGGCTTAAGTGCCTGCCTGGCAAGCACAAGGTTGTGAGTTTGACACTGGGTGCCAAAAACAAAACAAAACAAAACAAAACATTTGGCAAAAGAAAAAAACTCACCCATTTTATAGTATGAACTGGGACCAGTAGTAAAAGGAGTTGGCAAATGTCCCCGAGGGACATCACTGAATGTGTAGGAGATGGAGCTAACAAATCAATTGTGAAAACTCTGATTCCCTTGTTTACCTCTTTTCTCTGGCCAATAAGAGAAGAGGACCTTTAATATGACAAACATGAGCTTTTCTTTTGTTAAATACTAAGCAAGATATTAAAAAGCCAAATGGCTCTTAAACAGTTTTTTAAAAAGTAAGCTATGTGGAAAGCTTGATTCTTATTCCAAGGATCACAGTTCACATATAACCATCTACTTGGGAGCAGCCTCCCCAGAAGTGCTGGCTAACTATAATACCTGTAAGGGAACTATGGATGCTGCAGGACTTAAATTCAGATTATAAACTGACACACAAACAAGGATGTATGGAAGAGAAAGTTCTACATGCTATCTTACCTTTCTGGTAAATTCTGTGGTTGCTTCCATAAGTTGCTTTTCTTGATCTGTAAACTAAAGAATATGAAACAGCAAGAAGTTATAAAAAAGATTAAAAAGAATCAAAAAGGAGCAAGTAATCAAGAAAGCACATTTAAGAAGCAAACTACCATATCTGTTACTCTGCTCCTTTCCAGGTTGATGTCCAGTTTATTATCTGCTCTGATTCGGCTGGTTTCATGCTTTACAAAAAAATGAAAAAAATTTTAAGTAATTGATCACGTCACATGAAATGTTCTGAAATTAGTAAGCAGAAAACTTTTACTTACTATCAGTTGTTGTTTAACTTGATCTAACTCAATTTTCATTTTCTAGGTATAAGAAAGATCACAGGCAATTAACACTAAGCAAAAATATCTATTATGATATTATTTATTTGGTACTAGGGATTAAACTTACAATCTTATGCTTGCCAGGCATGTACTTATGCTGTACTTATGTGCTAAATACCGGTCCTATAATTTTCTTAAAAACTTAAAAGATTAGCACATTTTGGGCCTTTTAAGGATCTCTATTACAGAATCTAAAAATAGCTAAAAGAACAGGCATTAAATTCAGAAAAAAATTCTTATGAAGAAAACATTAGACAAAGCATTTGCTTTGTTATTCTTTAAAATTATTTGATTTTCTGAAATTAAAAATATTTAAGCTATATTTTAAAAATATTTAAGCTGTATTTATGTGAATAACATCTTAAATTTCTGATTTAATTATGGAAACACATTTTTCTCTTAAGTGACAAAGATAATTAGTATAGGCTCAAATACAATGGAAAAACCATTATTTTCAGCTTTGCAAACATTATATGATTAGCTATAGAAAAATTTGTTTTTGGTACACTGGGGATTGAACCCAAGGTTTGTGCACTGAGCTACACTACATTCCTAACTCTTTTAATTTTTTATTTTGAGACAGGATCTTGCCAAATACTTAAGTTACATGAACTTTAAATCTTCTTGTGTTAGTCTACAGACTGCTGAGATCATAGATATACCCACCATGCCTGGTTTATGATACAAATTTTATATACTATATAGAGCTCACAGATTTTCCCTTTTGTGTGATTTTTACATTTATACAATATAAGTCTTATTCTTCAGTATATAAAAAATATGTGATTTACACATAAAAATTAGGAATGGTGGGTCTGGGGATTTAGCTTAGTGGCATAAGTGCCTGCCTTGCAAGAAGGCAGTCGTGAGTTCGATCCCTGGTACCGATAAAAACAAAAAAGACCGAAAAAAAAAAATTAGGAATGGTTAAACTAGTTAACTGTTTTATTAGTAACCACATGCAGTTATTTGGTCTTACTATCTTATTCACCAAGTAGCATACTTGTAAGATCAGTTATAAGTAATAAATTAAAATCTATGTCACCTCATTCTCTGCTCTCAGATTTGCAAATTCACTTTTTTCTAGGATGACCATATCTTTCCTGATAGAATCCAAATGAGCCATTAGCTGTTGAACTGTTATTTCCTGAAAAAACAAAAATCAATCTGTGATTTATATAATGTCACCCTTTTATTTTTGGATTCTTTTCATAAAATTTAGATAATGTCAAGACAGTATAATAGAGGGAAAAAAGAAGTAAGTTATCATGTACAGGTACAAATTCTCTGTGATGAATGTGATCATTATGTAGATCTAAAATGTACCAATAAAATCTGATTGGAAAAGAAAAAACAGTATAAAATATGTTGCTTGATGAAGTAAAAAATGAAACTTACATATAGTAAATACTAAAATAAAAATGAGATTCAATTAAGAAAAAATATTTTCGTATAGGAAGAGAAATAAAAGTCTAGGTCATTTGGGAAGAATCCCAATAAAATACTTACTCAGACCCTAGGAATTCCTCAACCATAATAAGTAACAGAGGCAAGAACAATTTCTTAGTCTTCAAAAGAACTAGAATGCACACACCTCCAAAAACAACCTTTAAGGTGAGACATTCTTTTAAAGCAGAGTTTAAAAGCGTTGAGTGTGGAGTTAGGCTGTCTAGATCTGAATCTAAACTTTGTCACTGCTCTAAGACTTTGGACAAGTTATATAAATTATTTGGTCTCCTCACTTGTGAAGTGTAATCAACAACAATACCTACACTGTACAGAGGTGTTTTGAAGATTAAATGAGATAATGTACATACTTATAATGCTTAAAACAGTTTTTCAGCACATGGTTAACAGCCAATAACTAACTGTTAGCTCTTGTTACATTAGGGAATTAGGGAAGCTAACAGGTGAAGCAGAACAGCCTCTAATTTCAAAATTCTGATGCAGAGCAAGTTTTGAGGTAATTACTAATCCTATCATAATACAATGTTTTTAACTGTGTGTAGCAGACATCCATAACATTTATGTTTTTCCTAACCCTCACATATTATTGAGACAGGTTCAGTCTTGTTTTTGTCTTTTTCAGACAGAGTTTCACTATGAAATTCAGCCTGGCTTTGAACTCACGTTGCAGCCCAGGCTGGCCTCGAACTCATAGCAATCCTCCTGCCTCAGCCTAGGTTCAATTTCTTTTATCTAGTTCCGCATGGAATGTTTATGAGAATTAGCTGAGAAGTTATATAAATGTGGCTAGCAGTCTGTTCCCCCTAAGTATCATTATAAAGGAATTCTATGAAACTACACATTTTTATGCCTGAAACTACATAGGAAAGAGTTGCAAATATAATTTCAGATTTCTTGTGGAGACTGAGCCTTTGAAAGTAAGAGACTGTACAGTGTGGTTCTAATAGCTTTTGTGTGTGTGTGTGTGTGTGTGTGTGTGTGTGTATGTGTATGTGTGTGTTGGTACTGAATATGGAACCTTGAACACAGGCCTTCTCAGGGAGCTATATTCTCAGCTTTTTTTTTTTTTTTTTGTGATAGGGTCTCACTAAGTTTTCTAGGCTAAGCTCAAACTTATGATCCTCCTGGCTCAGGCTCATAGAGTGCTGGTATTACAGACTTGTGCCATTAGGTCTGACTTAAGAGCCTTTTCCTTTCTTTACAAAAAAAACAAAAACAAAAACAAAAAACTTCATGGTTCTTTTAAATACAGCTTGTGAATCAAAAAACCTATGATACAGCACAGGTATCTATCCTCAAAACTTTAAATGGAAAGATATAATCAATCATTAGGCAAACTTACTGTATGATTCTTAGAATGTTAAGTTTTAAAAAATTTCTAATGATTGTTGTAACTTATGGAGCCATCAGAGATTGAGCAGAATTCAGCCTCTTCCAAAGTGATCAAATAGGTAGCTTGTTTTCCTGCTAGTCTTGGCCTTAGCTCCATCCTTAAAAAGACATCATTGTGCCTTAGACTATCCTAGACTGTTTTTTTTTTTGAGACAGGGTTTCACTCTGTAGTTCAGACTGTCCTTGAACTCAACAGGTAGTCGTGAGTGGCCTCAAACTCTCTGAGATCCTTCTTGTCTCAGCCTCCCAAGTGCTGGAATTACAGGCGTGTGCCACCACTTCTGATTGGAGATGGGACTGTAATGGAGTTAGTCAAGAATGGAATGGGAATTTAACCTCACACACCAGTAATAATAATAAAAAAAAAAACAAAAGTTTAATAGTGATACTCTACATCTATACCTGTATTTTATACATTTTATACATAGGATTAAAGGTCATGGTAGCATAAAGATTCCTCAAGCCTAAAATTTTAAGAGTAAAGTACTGAAAAGGTCAGTAGTTTTTATGCAACTATTTGAGACTAGATCAGAACTTTGGGAGAATTAATTAAATGCTTTGCTTTTTCCTTAGTGGATTTACTTATCTAGTATGACTGAAGAAGTTAAGCTAAAATAATGCATACACAAATTTAAAGGTAAGTTAAATATAGGGGATGAGTCTTTAAAATATCTAATTAGAGATAATCTTTAAATATCTTTAAAAGCTTTTGATGCTGAAAGTGATGACATTTTATACAACAAATTCTAGTTTTATGCAAGGAATCCTAGTTTTTCTTTTGTACTTTGAAATATTTATATGAGGAAACCTTAATTTGAAAATTTAAAATAAAAAATAAGCATAGGAAGAAAACATTTTTAAGCAGATATTTCATAACAGACATGAATTATTCTAGTCAAGTTTAGTTAGCTTATTCTGTCCTTTATATACAATTACTGCTTTTTGTCCATATCACAACAATGTGAAATCTCTTGCAAATTACCCAATCTCTCTCAGCCTATCTTCAGTGGCAAACTAGAGTTCTGCCTACTTTTCGAAGTTGTTAGATTACACAATGAAAATTAGCAGCACTGTGCCTTTTACATCTTCTTTGTAAATGTGTTGATTGACTTTAAGGATTTATATATCCAGTTTTTAATCTTAGCGAAGCAGTTTCTGAGATCTTCCCAACCACAGTCCTTTCCATGAATCACAACAGGCAAAAGACAGCAGTAAAATGGGTCATGTGAAAGAAAGAGTAGCTCTTCAACTGTCATGGGTTTTCCAGGGAGAAGAAGTTATTTTACTAACAATCTGTTACTATCTCATACAATGAAAGGTATGGCAAAATTCTGTTCCATGACCATAATTTTACTAAGACTATTCCAAAAATTCTTAAATTTCTGTAGCTATTGACTTTATTAAGGGTCTTTCCTTTCCTGGCTTCCCTTCCTTTTTCTTCTCATCCCCACCCCCATTCCTTGAAAAAGAACATCTAATGAAACTGTCAGAAGTGACAAACATGAATGTACTACCTGTTGTGCTTGAGTGACCATCTCCTTATAGATAGTGTCCAGGCTGACATTTGACAAAGTGGTTAATGCTGATACAATTGTTTCCGCTTGTGCTTTGTCAAATCCTATAAACCACAAATAAGTATTTATATTTTAAAAATATAAAACATTGCACATCCTTATCAGGGTAGCTAGAATAACTTTCCACTTTCCTGGACATTTGATTCTTATACCGTCTGAAAAAGACAGTAACATTAAAAACTGATAGATAATGCTGCTGCTCTCTAAAATTATTCCGTCATTTTAATTACTGATATACTTCACACACCTATAGAAACATTGGGTATTACTAGTGTTTTATTTATTTCTTTTGGTATGGGTTGTGAACCTGTGGGCTTTCATGCTGAGCCACATTCCAGGGTCTTTTTTTTTCTTCAGACAGAATCTTACTAAGTTGTTAAATTGCCCAGAGTGGGCTCAAACTTGTTATCTTCCTGTTTCAGCCTCCCAGGGTGCTGGGATTATAGGTATGCATCATCATGCTTAGCTCTTTGCCCACTTTTCTATCAAACTGCTGAATTTTTTTTAATTGATTCCTAGAAATTCTAATTATTTAGCTTTTTATCTATCTGGAATTTCAGTAAGGGATCTGTTTTTTCAATGGATAGTCATTTATCACATCATTTATATTTAATGACTGTTTAAATCATTATATTTGTTACATTTAACAACTATTTGTTTCCCTATTTTGTAACACTTTCCTTATTATATGCTAAATTCATGTATATGTCTCTAATTACCATTGTTTTATTAATCATCATTCCTGTTCTTGTCATATCACAAATTATCATTGGAATGATATTTTGTGCTTATATTTTGGTTTAATTCTTGAATATCTTTACTTCCAGAGCTCACTATCACCTTAGTTATTTTTACTTAATTGGAATCATTCTGCACATATAATTTTATACAATGTTTTTTATTAACATATCTTGAGCATTTCTTATATTCTTCAAGCAAACAATTTTTAAGGGCTGTGAAATATTCCATTGTATGGATGGCACTTCTATTTAAATAGTTACTCCTTAATTGTTCATAATAGCAATACTCTCTTGAGTGGGTATTAGGAATGTAATTAATTTTCTTCTTTCAAGAAGTAGTACTCCTATTGTTGCCCCCTCATTGATGTGTTTTCAAATTTTGTTTTAGTTATTTTTTCCTTGAAAAATAAAAAGTAGTACTCATTTTTCTTACCATGAGTTTCTAAATCTTGAACCAATGCATGAGTATCAAAAGTTAATTTCCTTTGTTCTAAAGGAGTTATGTCCACTGGCCTGCTATCATATCCTCCTTTGCTTGTGGTGGTCAAGAAATCTGAAAGGAAAAGAAAACACTGGGTTCTTTTTTCTTGTAATAACTAACTGAGGTATTGCACTTTGGTTCTAAAACATTTTTTCCCATCCATTTATATACAGTTCTAGCTCTTCTTAATTTCTGTAATCTCACACAAATTCATTCCTTTGAGCCACCCCCCCCCCTTTTTGGTACTGGGGAATGAACTAATGATCCTGTGCTTGCCAGGCAGGCGCTTATTACCACTGAGCTAAATCTCTGGCCCATTGAGCCCCATTTTTATCTGGAAAGTCTCAGGCATTATTCTGTACACAGCAAATGCTTAATACTTTATTCTTTCAATATTCAGAAATATTAAGAGTCCAACTAGTGGGACTCCTAGGGAAGGGAACCATGCCAAGGGAGGAGCAGAGGTGCACTAGGGTCCCATATGACTATATATGCATGCATGGAAATGTCACAGTGAATCCCATTAATCTGTTCAATTAATGTGCTAATTATATATTAGAAACAGCAAAATGTGCAATATTTAAAGTTGATCTGAATTCACAATATGATATATATAAAATGTTTTGGACTTCACTATCTCATTACTAGAGAGCAGAAACTCCCTAACTCATAGAGCTATGAAAGCTTTACACCTGTATTTTCACCCAAAGTAGCTTTCCATGATCCTGTCTCTTACATGTTCACACAGTTTACTTCCTACACAGTTCTCAGCTCTGCAGAAAATAGATGCTAAATAATCTAAGCATCAGCTCTAAATTCAAATGAGGTACAATTTTATTAAAAAATTCTATTTGAAGAGATTAGAAGAAGCAGTTATAAAGGTGGAGTAACTTCTTTTTTTTTTTTTTTAATTTTTATTTAAGGAGAAAAGAAAAGAAAGAAAAAAAAAACAGTGAAGGGGTACAAGTTATACAGATTTACAGAATAAAAAAATGCGCAGTAGGAAATCACTAGTTAATGGATTACATATTGCCATCTTAGAAATAATTGTTCAAGTCACAAAATTAAAGCTTGTAGAGTGGACATTCCACCAATGATACTGCAAACAGTTCTGTTCAATGATCCAATAAAACTCTGTGATATCATTTTCTATCTTATACTTTTAAATATACATGCAGTTATATAGTTTAGAGCACTTTCTTTTCCTCTCTTTTGTACAGTGACTATTACACATTTTGGGTTTCATTGCTCCCACGGTTCTTGTTGCTTTTTTGGAAGAGAGTAAAACCAAATGTGACATAATAGAACAGAATCGGTCAAGTCAAAAGGGTGGACATAATAGATAATATAAAAAGCACATATTAGTACAATGCTAGCATTCTTTTTGGCTTAAGTGGCATCTAAAAGGATTAAAAGATTTGCCTTTGTCAAAGTCAGACCTTAAATCGGAGAGAAAACGAAAAATGAGAGGAAAAAGGTACAGATTTCACTAGAAGTTCCAGTAACAATTACATGAGGAGCAATGCTTTGGTATCTTTAGTTTTCTATTCCTGATAAAAAGTTCATTCATTCATTCATTTTAAAATCTTTTCGAGACAGTGTTTCATTATGTAGTTCAGACTGGCCTTGAACACCCACTGATTCTCCTACCTTAGCCTCCTGAGTGCTGCAATTACAGGTGTATGCCACCATGGTCAGCTAGAAGTCCATTCTTTTATTTGGTGTTTAGAGAAAATCAGTAATAGAAGATATTTTACCGTTTTCATACCTCTTATTCAGTTATTAAAATTCTATGTATGAGGAAGATTGAGGCTCAAAGTTAAGTGATTTGTCTCAGATCTTATGGTCTCATATACAGATACATTAGTATTTCTCCTGACTTAACATTGAACAGCTCACAAAGATCAGCTTTCTATTAAATTTGGGTTAAGGAAGCAAATATCCTAATACTACCAACAAATCTTTGCAGAGTATAACTCCCCTCAAGTCTCACTATGGTCTCTGGCCCTCTATTTCTTTTTGTATTGGGGATTGAACTTGTGACCTTGTGCTTGCCGCACAGGCGCTTATGCTGTTGAGCTAATGGTCCTCTATTTTTATGGGCTCTCTGATTTTAATTTCACAAACATGTTTTCTTTTTTTAAGGACTTTTGCTCAGTTCCTGTTCAGGAAGCTTTTTCTTTGTTTGCTCATATTTATCCTTCACAGTTCAGTCCAGCTTGCCCAGACTTGCTTTTAAGTTGTTTCTGCTTTAGTGTACTGTGTAATATTCTTTTGCAACATCCCTCAGGATTTACACACTTATATGACTCTTAATTACTTCCTTAATAGACTACTGTCATTCAACTATTACCTTCAGGCTACCACCTTTTTCTAAATAGGTTTAGCTAAAAAAACAAAAAACAAAAAAATCTGGATAGTTTTATTGAACACTGCTTGTTTATTTATGGATATCTAGGGTCACTTTTATGTTACAAAAGTAGAGTAAGTAGTTGTAATTGACCATGTCTCACAAAGCCTAAAATATTTAATATTTGATTCTTGAGCTAATCACAAAGTCATTAAGATTAGGCACATCTGTTCTTGTGCATCATTGAATCACTAACACTTAATCCAATTCCAGATGCTCCTACTGTTGAGTGAAAGGCAGTGTTTGGCATTATGCATATTGCAATAAAAAAAGGTTTTGTTTCATTTGAAATACTTTACTGTTGCTCAGGCTAAACTGGTATCAAATGATCCTCCTGCCTCAGTCTCTACAGAAGATTACAGGTGTGCACTATCATGTCTGATATAAATATATATATATATATATATATATATATATATATATATATATTCCCATGAGGGAAAATAAAGGACCATCTGCCCCTCTTGGAAAATAGTGGAACAAAAGTGGCATTTTATTTTTTAGAGACAGGGTCTTGTTATATACCTCAAGTTGGCCACAAACTTGTGAGACCCAACTACCTCAGCCTCTTGAGTACTAGAATTACAGATGTGCACCACCACACCTGACAAGAGCAGCTCTTTATAAAACCTTTTTTTTTTTTTGGTCTTTCTGAGACAGGGTTTCACTGTACAGTTCAGGCTAACCTTAAACTCACTGGGTAGTCCGGGCCAGCTTCACACTTAAAATGACTCTCCTGCCTTCCAAGTGCTGGCTCTAAAACTATTTTAAAATTATCCAGATAACACAAACAGAATGATCAAAATTCACCAAAAGTACGGGATGTCTTTGCTTTTCCCATCTTACTCTTTATGTACCATGGGCTTGAGAAGAGGTGAGACTACTTTAGGATATGTGGAACATTTATTTATTCCTCATGTGTCCTCAAGTATTCATGTGTTACTTCAAAATTCTTAGTAAGGTAGGTGCTGAGACTCTTTCTGGCAGGACAGGGTGGGGGACTGTGTTCAGTCTTCTTTGGGTGTCATGCTCACTATCCTGACATCCTATGACCATGCTGACTTACTGGAACTCCTTAAAAATGAGTATTTGCAGGCATATTAGAAGGAAGAGGGGCTGAGAATATAGCTCAGCAATGCAGTGCCTTTCTGGTGAGCTCAAAGTCCTGAGTTCCATTCCCTGCACAAAAAAAGAAAGAAAAAAAAAGAGATGGCAACAGTGTTTTCATCTCAAGGTGGAATGTTCTTACTACCTTGTTTCCCAAACTTAAACATCTGTGTAAAGTCCCAAACCTTCCTTTCAATGTTACATATTTTGATTCTTTGATACTATGTGTGTATGTGTATCTTTAGAGTGAGAAACTCAGTTTTAAGACTTAACCAGTTTAAAAGCTGTAATTTGGCATACTGGATTTGAACTGGCCTATCTTGCCCCATGCTGTGCCCTTTGCTGGAAAAGACATTTTACTTTTTTGGTGACAGCAAATTAATTTAGTATTTTTCCCATTCCATATCATCAAGAGGGTTGATTTCGACTTTTACCTTTCACCTACAGCAGACCAGTTGGTGCTCAAAACTGTACCACCAGATCCCAATAATGATTTGTTCATGGAACATTTGACTTCATAAGAGCCATCTGAATAGATCTGCTCAAATAATTTGTTTAAAGCTGCATGTCCCTCCAACCCCTCAATCTTCTTTGATCTCGCCAACCAATTTACCCCAATTTCCTGTATAATGAGATGATGATGGATATAGGTTCTTTACATCTGCTATGAACTGTTTGGACATAGCACATCCCCTTGTCTCTCTAGCTTTTCCCGTCTTACAGCCTCTGGCTTTTTTAATTTCATTCTTTTGTTGAAAGTACTTTAAATGTGCTCTGTTCTGGTATTACAGGATGAAGCAATCTGTTTCAAATTGTAATCTTCTCCAGAAAAAAGTTTCCGTTTCTGAAAATTCCACATTTACATCATTCTTCTGAACATTCTTAATCGTGTTATAATTACTTGAGACTGTTTGATATCAGTCATACTTGATTTCTAAGTCCTCGCCTCAAATTCGGATCCATTCTGTGCTTCTTGACCTCTTTTAATCCAGACAATAAAATTAGCATCTGCATGATCTAAGTTCTGTCCTGTAAGTTTCTAGAGCAGCAGCATAGTTTTTTCCATGGTATTCACATATCCCTTTTTTCAGCTCAGAAGTGGTATCATTGAGGTTGAGTTTGAGAGAATTTTTTGCATCAGCAACATCGTCAACTGAAATTCTCAAGGAGAAAGTGACAGTACACTCTTTGACAGTAACACCTCTGGTTTCTGTTCCAAAGCTTTAGTTGGCTCCTTTAAGGCTGCCTGGGGGTCCTCATCAATCAGACTATCTGAGAAGCTCTGGACAAACCACTGGGCACCATTCCTAAATTACTGCTACAGTGGCCTGAGACACTGCCACCACAGTTACCAGCTCCACTGCTGCCACCGTTCTACTTTTGAAAACATGTAAAATAGTATCTCTATTAAATCGAACTTCCAAGTTTTATATAAATTTACTTTTAACTTATAGCTGAAATACTTTAGTAACATGGCTGGTTATTTGTCAAGAATCCTAAAACAAGGTATTACAACATATATTCTTTTACATATTAACCTGACATGTGCTGTGCTAGGTGCATCAGAATTACCAAGATTTGTATAAACTAAAACAGAGATACCTCAGCCCCACCCTTGTAAACTAACTCGGAACTTCCAGGATAAGACTTGAAAATCTGTATTTTAAAAAACACACTGGTTCTGATCTGCTAAGTTTGAGAAGTAGTAATAAGCTAGGAATATAGTGCTACTGGGTATAAAATTTAGGAAAGGAAAAAAAAAAATCACACTGCTGTCCTACATCTTCATTCATTTACCTTTAATAAAGGGAACTGGGACTGGTTGATAAGTAAGCTCTTTCCATGGGTCAGAGATCACATTCCTTGGTTACTGTTACTATTTGGCAAGTTTAAACTACTAGCATACAATATTCAATCCTTGTTCAGTGAGGAGGTCACTAAGTCATAGGGGAGACTTAAGGTTTTTGATTCAATAAGTATTTTAAAGTATTAAAATATCTAATACTTACAGTGATGTATTTTCCAGTATGATACATATTTTAAGGTTCTCTAAAAATGTTCATCTTTTTTAGGGGACTGGATCTATGTAGTTTAAGCTGGTCTTGAACTTAGGCAATCTTTCTGCCTAGGCCCCCCCCAAATACTGGGATTACAGGGGTAAACCATCACCTCTGGCCATTTTATATTTACATTTGAATAAACAAAATACATCTCCAAAAGTTTGCAATGATAGATTGAGATCTGGATGATTTCCGAATGTTCAAAATAAAATGTAAGCTGTTTTTGTACAGCCCATCACAATTTGCATGTGTGCTGAGCACCTAAACATGTAACCGGATCTTGTGGTTGATCCTGACAGCTAAAGAGCAACCTTACAAATGGAGGATCAGTAAGTGCAGTCTAGACTGTGAATAAAATGAAACAATTAGCAAAACAGTACGAATAATGTGGATGGGGAGAGATTATGTCTGGGTTTACTGAATACCTGTAGGTTACTAAGTGATTGCAGAGGATTTAGGATTAACAGCCAGGAATAAAGCCGATCTAATCTGAAATGTGTGATACGACCAATGTGCCTGGACTGCTGAGCAGAATTAAGTATCAGTCTAAATCTGAACAGGCAACAAATAAATGAAGACACCCACATAGAATGCTTGGTTCGGCAGACCTGAGATTACTGGCCTCACATGACGGATAAAAAGGACTCGGAAGAAGCCAAGAGCTAAATCCGGGACCTTTAAAGGTTTGCTCTTCAAAAAGGAAAGTAGTTCTCTCCCCAGGCCTCTTACTCTGCCCGGGTCCCCAGGGCAAACCACGGAGGCTTAGGGAGGCGGTCCTCGGGTAGCCAGCGAAGCGTGGTCCGGGGAGGGCGTGACGCCTTCGCGCCTCCATCACGACCCACCGGAATCGTCTCCCTAGGCAGTACTGGGGCACTGGTGGCAGGACGCTTTGCCTCACCTCTCCGCAGAGCCGGCGAGAAACGCCCGCGCGGAGTTGAAACCCAGCGGCCCGTGGTGCCATCGGAGCGCAGAAGGCGCCAAGCCCAGCGACTCCTCATGTTCTCAGCCTTCCGATGGGCAGGAGGAAGCGGAAGGCGGGCGACACTGTGCTTAGGATTTTGGGTAAGGTAGTTCCACTACCATGAGGATGCCGGGAAATGTAGTTTCGGGGCTGACCCAAGACCCCGTGCAGCGCAGGCCAAATTGGCTCTTAACACAGGCCACAGGCATGGTTCAAAGCCATTTCGCTTCTCCCACCAACCCTTCCCAACCAGCGTACGCCTTTACCGCCCCAGGGAAGCGGGGTCCTGAAGAACGTTTCCCGGCATGAGGTACAGCCCCAAAGCAGGCTCCCTTCGGAAAGCCTGTGTCTATTCGCGGTAGGTCTGTGGAGACCGGACTCCGAGCGCCGCGCCGCAACCCGGGAACTGAGTCCTCGCCGCTGGGCATTCTGGGGAGGGCGGAAGTGCAGAGTCCTGTTGGCAGCGCAAGCTTGCGCTTTCGCTTGCTGCTGCTTCGCTATCTGCTGCAGTGGAGGACTAAGAGTTCCACTTTTCAAAGTAAAGGGAGTTTACTATAAATCCTAAAGTACACACTAAATCGGTACGTTGTGAGTCACTTACGGTTTTTAATGTACATATATTAAGTTTTTAAGTCATTTACTTAATAAGCAGTATTCTAAGCACTAAGACTTTTTTTTTTTTCTTTTTTTCTGGAGACAGGGTTTCACTATCCATTCAGGCTGGCCTTGAACTCACTTTGTAGCCCAGGCAGGTATCAAATGCCCACCGATCCTTCCGCCTCAGTGCTGGGATCACAGTCTTGTGCCATCATGCCTAAGTAAGCACTGAGACATTTTAAAAGGAGAAGGAAACTTGACTCCTTCCAGCAAGTGCTTTAAAAGACAATTCTTGTAAGAAAATATAAATGGGTGTTTTAAAAATTGGGATGTATAATAGGCAGAGAAGCAAAAAAGGGTGTTCCATCTTTAACTATTACAGATTTGAAAAATAATAGTTCTCAATGTTAGCAGATACGCAATTAGAGGTGTTCACACTCCTGCAGAAGTGTGAGTAATACAACATATGTACGGAAAGCAGTTTATATGAAGCTCTAAAAGGTCACTGATTAGAGTTTTATTTCTAAGAAACTATCTTAAAATAATCACGTATGTACCTAAGATTTTTTTATTTAGAGAAAAAAAGCAAAACAGAAAAAAGAGTAGAAATAACACAGAATTTAAAAAAAATTAAGATCACTAGTTGATAATGTACCTAAGCTTTTAAAAACATAATTATTATAATGATACTTGTGAAAAATTGGAACTATCTAAACACTTCTAAAAGTCATTTGATAACAGAAATGTTACAAGTTGAAATAATATGCAGTCATTGAGTATTTTGAACTATAATTTTAGAGACAGGAAAATATATAAATATTCTTTGACTTTCTACATGCAAAGATTTCTGCTAGGATATATAAAGATTAGTAGGATTTCTGCTCACCAAGAACTTATACTATAACTGAGAAACTAGAACAAAATTACTAATAGCCTTCCACAAAAAAACCTTAATACATTAGTGTTATGTAAATGTTAAAAAATAATCCTTTAGTTCATTTAAGGGTGAAACACTTTTGTCATAATTACCAGGAAGTGATAGAATTCACACATATTTTAGAAAGTTTCTGTTAAGGAGACAGTATAAGGCAAGAGGTCCAGAAGATGGTTGTCTTAAGGAAGCACACTTTTCTCATCTCCTTGTTCCTTCCTATGCATGGCCTTTGCATATGGTGCTTTCTCAGCTTAGAGCCCCTTTTCCTCCTAGCCTATTCCTTCATATCCTTTGGATCTCTCACCCATCACACATATATACAGTTATGGGAAGAGTGGGTACCACTGTTATGGGCACCTGCAGTAACTGAGTTTTCCCAGGTTGCTGAGATTATTTGTATCCATCATTATGGTAGAGGCCACACTTGTGTTAGTCACTTTCGTGTCACTTGGAAAAAATACTCAACACTCACAATTTAAAACAGAAGAGGTCTATTTGATACACAATTTCGGTTCATTTTTAGCTGGTTCTAAGTTAGAAAGGGTATAGTAGAAGGATCTAGAAAAGGAATGGTGCTCATTTCTTGGTGGTCAAGAAGCAGAGAGAAGGGAGAAGCCATGAAGGGAAACATACCTTCTAGGCCATGCCCCAGTGGTTGCCTTTTTTCCACCAGCACCACCTCCTAACAGAACCCATTCAGCTCTGAATTCTGCGGATCAACCACAGATGAGTGTAGTGCTCCTATGATCTACTCACCCTCCAAAACCGTCGCCTTTGAATACAAGAGACTTTTGGGGAATATTCTAGATCAAGTTTATAACACCTTTTGCTGTGTGTGTATCACTTAGTGTCATACCTGGCCCATAGCAGTCCTTTGGTAAATACGTTTACCAAGGGGGCCGCGGTGGCTGCTGATTTGCTGTTTTGCTGCCTCCTGCCTGCCATGAACTCTGTCCTCTGCATTGTCTGTCTGCCATACCAACCTGCCTCGGAGCCATCCATCTTTGGACTGAAATGGCTACAAACTGAGCTGAAATAAATCTTTTTTCCTTTGAGTGTTGGGTATTTTGTCTCAGCAGTTTGAAAAATAACTAATACAACTACAACTAGTGTGAGAGAAAAGTAGTGCTGATTCTTTTTAAATTGATAAATTTCTTCCAAAGGCAAAGATTCTTGCCAATTTTTTTGGTGGGGTTTGAGTTTCATCTTTAGTAATGACTCAGTTTCTTTAGGCATTTGAAATGCCCAAGAATTCAATAGCTGTTTCTGATGCCTAAGGGCCTAGGAACCCAGGTTTCTTGCAATTGCATAAAATGGCCAGAATCCACTAGCATTGTGATTGTAGATCAGGTCGCTTCCAGAAAGAGGATGCATCTTGGACTTCTGACATTTGTCCCTGAGGTGATAGAGAGGAATCCCAATGTATTTTTTAAAGCAGGTGACAAGCATTATGAAGCAGACCCCATTGGACCCTAAGGGTTTGATTTTCTTCCTTCCTTTTCTTGGAGTTCTTGCCACCAGGGGGAGTGTTTGGAAAAGAGTTGAGAGCAGTTGTTTGTTTTATATCTGAAGCAGATTTTAAAGATTTCCTGTATGCTTCACTTTTTTCTGTAATTAGTTAATTTATTTTTTGGTATATCAAATTCTTTAATGGAAGTCTATATATAAAAATGCGGCAAAATTTTACTTATCTTAGGTGAAACTTAAGAATTATTTAATACATGTAATTTCTTTTCCTGGTAGCTATCTGATTGAATCTTTGGTCAAAGTATTCAGTGTTTTCATTTATCCTTAATGGTACACCAAAAATTCATTGCAGCTGGCTATTATTTGCAGCCTATAAAAATTAGGCATTTTTCCACCTTACATTTTTTTACTTGTTTTCTCTCATTATCTTTCTCCAAATTTATTTATTTTTATGCTGTCTTGGGCCATCATAATTTTATTATTTAACAGAGTTAAGAGCCTGAGTTATATATTTTGCTTCTATAAGGATTCATTCACTAATAAAGGGTTATAAACATGTTATATGGCAAACTTTGTGGCTTATAATGTTATTAGACATTAGGACTACACCAGTAAGATTGTAAAGATTAACAGGATAAAATTTGTTATATTCAACCTGAGGCCTCTCATATAATAATAAATAGTAAATACTGTATTGCTCTTTTTTTTTTAACCTCCAAGGTAAAGGTGAAGTACTGTATTGCTCTTAAAATGCAATGCTCAATAAATGGAAACTGCTGCTGCTGCTCCTATTCTTAACATTTGCCTCTCTTTAGTGGTTGCAAATCATTTAGTGATTTGCAGGTCACTATCCTGATTATTTGGTAATGGAAGTTATGTAGTACTTCTTTAGATATTAAAAAATTGTTCATTTTGTAACCTAGGTTGGCTGGCAGGCATTCTGTATGTTTTGTGTTCCCACATCTTAAGTGAAACTGACTCTTTTGGGTATTCAGTATCAAACTCATGATTTCATGCTTGCCAGGAAGGTTCTTGTGCTGCTGAGCTAAATCCCCAGCTATGGAACTAACTTGTTTTTATACTTTTATACACTTGCTACATTTCAGATCAGACAAGTTAATGTTAATACTGGGTATTTCCTACTCTTGATTTCTTATTAAGAATAATATTTATATGAAAATGCAAAACTTTTGTCAGTGTTTGCTCATCTGTCTCAATAGCTACAATTCTATTGTGCATTTTTGTACAATAATATTACAATAACCAACGTTGATATTTAAAGTAAGAAAAAGTGAATGGTTTAAATTTGAGAATAAATATTTTCTTTGTCAAAAAAAAAAAAAAAGATTTCATGTAATCCAAGTCAGAGGAGCCCATTGCTGCAAAAGCTTGGGTAGTTTTATGTTAATATCACTCTGTGTGTGTGTGTGTGTGTGTGTGTGTGTGTCTTATTGATGACCACCACTGTCTGCTTTCTGCAAATCTGGGAAAAACTTTTTCATGATTGTAATAAGAGGCCAACAATGACATTCAACTACAAATTTGACAATTAAAATGAATCAGCGAAAGATTGATTAAAGAAAAAAGTAACCTGTCAAAATACTTGCAACGCTAGATGGTATCTTACTGTCTTGCATTGATTATTCATTTATTTTTCCAAAGAATCTATGCTGAGCTTGATTTGTGGTGCTGCACTCTGTGGTAGGCCATGAAGATATGGATATAAGATAAAATAATGTCCTCAGGTTGCTATCATAAATACTTTGACAGTGGGAAGTACAGACTGCCATGAGGATGAATAAGATAGGACTGTACTACCCCTAAACAGGGAGCATTGGGAAGGATTTACTTTGGAGGGATAAATAAGGTAGTTTAATTAAATGGGTTTGATGGATGAGTTGTGGAGCATGTTTTGCACAGATGGGGTTAGTGCTTGCAAAAGCTGGGAAGTATATGTGAGAGAGTCTGGTTCACATGGGTACAGAGAGAAAGAGCTGAAACTGGGTTGAGGGTAGATTCAAAAATGAGGTTGGAAAAGGTGGGTCAACCCTTGGGATTACTTTTACTCTTTCTGTAAGAACCACTGGAGCCCAGTACCCTTGGGGGTGGCAGGCTTTATCTGCTCAGTCCTCCTGTATGAGCTTTTCTCTTCATAGTCAGGACCACATATTTCACCTAGGTGCACTGTCCTAGAACTGACCTGGGTCATCTTATAGAGATTCCCTCCTTCCTTAACTGGGATAACTTTTCGTCTAACAGCGACTATAGATTTAATTCAGAATGCTTGAACAGAGAGACTTCCTCATTATGCTGGTTGTCTAAGTTGGACCCCCAGGAACCGGCCTGGGAATTAGAGTTTTGGGATCTCAACTTTGGAACCCAGTTTCTGCACTGGGATATAGGGAAGCTGGAAAATTTCACCAAACCCTCATTATGGTTGGTATCCTTTACATCCCTCCAAGATGGGATATGTTCTCCATCTCCAAAAGGTGATACATAGGTACTGCTTGAAATATAGGTGTTGATTTAGATATCTTTGGAGCTTGTTCGTATATAATAGCTTGTATGAGCTGCTCAGTGTCT